TGTAGTACAATTTCAGAAATATCCAAACACTTACACACAAGTTATTGTCATGAAACTAGAAAAATGCTTGTTTTTTGCCCCTTTTTTGGCCCCTTATTCCTAAAATTTTGAGGCAATTACCCCCAAAATCAATTACAGCCTTCCCTTTGTGATATGGAACCTTGTGGTACAATGTCAAAGAGATCCATACACTTACACACAAGTTATTGTCTGGAAGTTACAAAAATGCTTATTTTTGGCCCCTTTTTGGCCCCTAATTCCTTAACTGTTGGTACCATAACCCCCAAAATCAATCCCCACCTTCCTTTCGTGGAATTGAACCTTATGGTAAAATTTCATGGAGATCCATTCACTTAAACTAAAGTTAGAGTGCGAAAACCAATGTGTCTTCGGACGACGCCAGACGACGACGACGACGACGACAACGACGACGACGACGACGACGACGACGCCAACGTCATACCAATATACGACCAAAAAATTTTCAATTTTTGCGGTCGTATAAAAACAGCTGATTCTTTTTTTAATTTCATTTCCCAATGTTTTTCGAGAATCCTAAAAAAAGTAAAGGAAATAAACATTGAAATTACAGTCTTTTTTTCATTGAGATGAATGTATTCGTAGATGGCCAATGCCTAAGAAACATAACATTTAGAAAGAAAAGAAGAGATTTTTACTTTACTGTCTTTTCAAATTTTAATTGCATGTTATATGATGCACTACATTTCCTCTTAATTTTTTCATAGCCAAATACTATGAGTGCTTGGATTTCTTTTATATTGTTGAAAAGACATCTTTTATCTCTTTTCTTTTTCTAATGGGAGATAATTCAAAATATTTTGTTTTAACTCTTGTGGAAATCTTAATTATTTTATAATTTCCATAATTTTCCAGGATTAATAAACACCAGAACAAATGTGTGCATTCTATTTATTTATTTATTGACACTGATATTTGATATTCCATCCAGTATTCCAGTTTCACTATTTGAAGTAATTCTAAAATATTTTCCTAAATCTAGTAACCTTTTGGAATATTTTCTTACGTTTTTCACTACATCACTAGATTTTTTTTTCTATATCCACAGTATTCTGTTTAATTTCCCATGATATATATATACCAATTCAACAAGTGCAGAGTCTTTATATTAGATCCAGAATTTTGTAATTTTTGATATTTTCCAATATCATATTTAAAATAATTATCCTCACTTTACAAATTTTTTGGAATATTTTATTCATATTTTTCCATATATCGCTTGTTTTTACTATATCCACAGTATTCAGTTTTTATTTTATTTCCCATGATATATATCACAATTAAACAATATTAGATACAGAATTTTATAATGATTATTTCCAATATCACATTCAAAATTGTTATCCTCATGTTATGATTTTTTTTGGAATATTTACTTTTATTATTCACTTTATCACTAGACTTGACTATATCCACTGTATTCACATTTTATTTCATTTCCATGACATATATAGCCAATCTAAACAGGTGAATCATCTTCATATTAGATCCAGAATTTTATAATGATTATTTTCAAAATCACATTTAAACACTTCAAGCCACAGACACATGTTGGTTGAACTTATTTCTCCTACTTGCATTCCAGTTTTGATTTTTTTTACTTTTTAGAATGACAAAACCCCATCTTATAAAAAGTGAATTCCCTTGAGTGAACAGTATTTTTATGCACAAAATCCTAATAGATTTCAAAGAAAAACACTGGGAGGTATACTCCCAAATTAGTTTGGCTTTTACATGTACATCATCATGTGAAAGCCGTAAACATTTTGAATGAATTATTTCCTCCTTGATACGTTTATGACAAACCAGTCAAAGTCACATTTTAAGAAGCAAAATTAAATGGCATCTAAGAATTGAATTCAAATAAAATAAATCCCAATTTTTTATGCACATTGATTCCAATAGATTTCAAACACTGTGAATAATAATCCAAAATGAAAAATTCAAACAGATAGGCCTATATGAAGAAATGCATAACATATCCATCTGAAAACTAAACACTGAAAAGACCTGAATAGCTATTTTTTGTTTCACTGACAACTGGACAATACTATGTATAAGGATTAAAAATTTAAAGATTTTTTTATTATTTAACAAGAGTGCACACGCTGAAATGTCTCGCCTTCATTACTTACCATTGATTTTATGTTGATAGTCCTAAATATAAAGCTTTACTATAAGTAACACATAAACTTAACATGATCCAAGAAAATGAGGTCAAGGTCAGATGAATCAAATGAAAAATACATGTACACCTTACAATCATTCAATAAACCAAACATAGTTGACCTATTGCTTATAGTTTCTAAGAAACAGTCTTAACCAAGAAAACTTAACATTGACCAATGAACCATGCCAGACAGACATGTACACCTTACAATCAATGTATGCATTAAATATAGTTGACCTATTGCTTATAGTATCTAAGAAACAAACTTAACCATGAAAACTTAACATTGACCAATGAACCATGAAAATGAGGTAAAGGTCAGATGATACCTGCCAGACAGACATATACACCTTATAATCCTTCCATACAACAAATATAGTTGATCTATTGCTTATAGTTGAAGAAAAACAGACCAAACCACAAAAACTCAACACTGAGAAATGAACCGTGAAAATGAGGTCAAGGTCAAATAAAACCTGCGAGACTGACATGTACATCATAAAATATTTCCATACACCAAATATAGTTGACCTATTGCATATAGTACTAGAAAAAAAGACCAAAACTCAAAAACTTAACTTTGACCACTGAACCATGAAAATGAGGTCAAGGTCAGATGACACCTACCAGTTGGACATGTACACCTTACAATCATTCCATATACCAAATATAGTAGACCTACTGCTTATAGTATCTGATATATGGACTTTACCACGAAAAATTAACCTTGTTCACTGATCCATGAAATGAGGTCGAGGTCAAATGAAAATTGTCTGACGGGCATTAGGATCTTGCAAGGTACACACATACTAAATATAGTTATCCTATTAATCATAAGAAAGAAATTAACATTACAAAAAATGTTGACTTTTTATTCAAGTAGTCACTGAACCATGAAAATGAGGTCAAGGACAATGGACATATGACAGAGGGAAACTTCGTAACATAAGGCATCTATATACAAAGTATGAAGCATCCAGGTCTTCTAGCTTCTAAAATATAAAGCTTTTAAGAAGTTAGCTAACGCCGCCGCCGGATCACTATCCCTATGTCGAGCTTTCTGCGACAAAAGTCGCAGGCTCGACAAAAACCGTTTTAATTTTCATACATATAAACATGCTGTTAAGAAAATCTTTGACTGATTTAGATTTTTGGGTCAAAATAAGATTAAACATCTATATTGGGGACTTAAAACCATGAAAACCAATAATATTTTCTTCCCTATCAATTTTATAATAGAATAACCCTAGGTGAAGAAAAACTTTAAGAAAAAAGCATGCTGTAAGGTTGGGTTAGGTGAATAAAAAACAGTACAGGTAGCATCAAGATAGACTCAACTGTAACAATACCAACTGGTCAATTTAAATGTCCCAATTGTATTGTCAATTTTACAATCTGGTTGAACAATAGGTAAAGGTGAACAGCAACACTTATAGTCAAGTCACAGTAATAAGTTTCCAATGGGAGATAATCTACTTTTTTAAATGAAGTCAGTCTTATTTCCCTTTAAAACTTCCTGCAGAAGCAAGCTATTTTTGATCCTGCTTACCAAATTATGTGCTGTTTTTTTATTTCCTAGCTGCACTTTGCAGGTTTGTTGTGTGTTTTAGCTTTATGACATATGGATCACATGTTGTTGCTGGTCTTTGTTGTTACATTTGTTTTTCAGAGGTATTAGGTGTTAGTGGTTGATGTGGTCTGTATTAAATACTCTTTTTGGTGCTTGCTGTTACACCTTTTAATGTTTCACACATCCAATAAACCAAAAAGAACCCTCAGCAGACTGTCCTTTTATCAACTAAAAACTCAGTAAAATGTATGTTTTAAAATATGGTCAGTGCCAAAACATTAACTATTAAGGGTTGATTCTGTTAACAGACCAAATAAATTGCTTCGCTGAGCACAGCTGGATACGACCGCAGAGGTCCAACCCTGAACAGTTGGGGCAAAAATGGACACAATATTTGTGCTTGATATAGGTCTGAATTTGGATTGTAATTCAATATTGGACACATAATAGGTTTCTGACATCTGTAGTCATAGAACTTAGAATTGGTTATATGATTTGAATTTATATTCAATTTTTTGCTTTTGTGCAATACACTATGCTGTTGCGAATTGACCTCCCCCCCCTCCCCCCCCCCCCCCCCCCAAATCTTTTTTAACCGGTTTGAGCCATAACCCCCCAAAGCCAATCCTAACCATACCTTTGTGGTATGGAAACTTGTGGTATAATTTCAGAGAGATCCATACACTGTTCCACAAGTTATTGTCATGAAACTAGAAAAATGCTTATTTGGGCCCCTTTTTGGCCCCTAATTCCTAAACTGTTGGGACTGTAACCCCCAAAATCAATCCCAACCTTCCTTTTGTGGTAATAAACCTTATGTTTAAATTTCATAGATTTCTAATTACTAATACTAAAGTTTTTGTTTCCGGAAACCAAATGTCTTCAGACGATGACTTGATACCAATATATGACCGCAATTTTTTTTGCGGTCGTATAACAAACCACCAATATCTAGCTCTTCCAAATAGTTTGAAACTTTATGGGTCTCACCTGCAATTATTTTAGTATTCATGTATTTTCTTTTGGAAGATGTATAAAGTTGAAGCATGTCAATATTTCTTGAAAATGGTAAAAATAATTATTTACCAATTCGACTATATTATTTCTGAATAAAATTAATGACGTGTCATTGTATTTTGTATATTTCAGGTGTATATTTAATTCTCACAGGGTTCCTTGTTTATTAAACATCAATACCTAAATCCATATAGAAACAACAAATAGAAAAAAAGATTTTAATATATTACCATAGATTGCACATTTAAATAGTACAACTACTGGAAACAAATTCTCACATAGCACTTAGTAAAAATATGCATATAAATATTATAATACCAATTATCTACCTGTTTCATTAACTTGTTGAAGAAAAATTCTTAAGATTTTTTTTTTTACAATTGTATAAGTTTAATAGACTACATAATAGACACATGCCACTTTATTTGACCTTTAAGCATACTTGCTGCTGACCTTCAGAATTTCAGCATTTTCATGAAGAATGCATTTTCTAAAGTATAATACATCAAACGTATTGAAAAAAATACTAATACTTGTTTTTAGATTCACTGTTTTATAATATTGGACTTTTTGGTGGGAAAAGGATGTCTCTAAATTTGTAATATAAATTTAAGCAATAATGAATGTTCAACTGTAACAAAAAGTATATCAGCAAGTTCAGAATATATTACAAGATAAGAGGTTGTTTTTGAAAAATATTGAGAAATTTAGAGGTTCATGCTAGGAAAATGTTCACTAATTGCCAAGGAAAAAGTCAAAGAAGTAACAAATATGAAGGAAGGGTAGGAGTCTTTTAGGTAACAAAAATCCTTAATGTCCAATAACTTTATATACTGAAAAGGTGGAAATCATTGCAGGCTGTAAGATTTTTATAAAATTTCATTGGATTTTGAGAACAAAAAAACAGGACCTCGCACAAGACACACCAAAATTGTTTAATGGTATATTTTGACAAATAAAGTCATAAACAACTATAGTGACATTTGAAAAATCTCAAAAAGCCAATATGAAACCAAATATTTTGTAAAAATTTTGGACAGTTTAAGTAACAAGACTTGCTTAAAATTGACAAATTTGAATAATCAAAATCCAATAACTCTAGAACAACAAATACAAAAAATCTCTGAATTGAAAAAAGGATCTTGTCTTTTTGTAAAAATCCATAAGAGCAAACTTGAGTTATTGAGAGATGAGCTTGGACAAAGAAAACTGGAGTTATCTACAGATATGCTTTGACAAAGAAAACTTGAGTTATTGAGAGATGTTCTTTGACAACATAAAAATGACGGAAGTATGTCCCAATAAACCACAAGTGAAAATTGACTACCTAACTGTAAGGATTCTGAAATTACAATGAAAATTTACTGAGGTTTAGAACAATTCTACCATTTGTTGGTATAAGAAAATATGCAGGTAATAAAATAGTATATAAGTAATTTTTGTTTCAATCTGAAAAAGGTCAATTTCTGAAAATCTAACTATCCAAGCAATGCCCATGATTGACAATTAAGAAAATTCTGAATAAATATGGTTCCACAAGCTTTTTGTCAGTAGGGAGGGGAAAAAAGTTCATTCTTGTTCTAGCTTTAGGTTAAAAAAAACTGTAAATAAATACATATTTCCAATAGAGAACAAAAGACCCAGTCGTTTATTTTGATAATTTTCTTAACAAGTATCAATTTGTGTTTAATAGAGCATTTGCACAATACATGGCGTTCAAATTTGAAGAATCTTTGTTTCAACAAGCTAGCTATTTATAATTTATTTCCTAAAGGATGACATTAATATTCAAATATTAAATAAACTTTCATTTAAATCGTAAAAAAAATAAACTAGAATAAATGAACTGATGAACACAGAGAGAACTGGGCAGCATGCTGTTATAACAAAATAACTAATGAGAGGGCAAGTCGTTTACATGTTCTACATCACAAAACAACTTATTTTGTGAGTAAAGACTTTGGAAAATTACCCACAAATTTCTTTAATTTGAAATTTTTAGTGATAAATCTTAAGTCAGTTCTAATGACCTTTAGTTATCATGTAATAGGCCAAAATTAAATATACTAATAAACTATGGGCAAATTAAAAAAAATGTATTCTCTTTTTGCCTTTCAGCAGTTCTTAACTTTTCATTATCTTTTGTGTGAAACTTAGCACCTGATCAAAACAATATATAATGTGAAAGCATTTTGTAGTTCAGTAAGAATGTGTCCCCATATCCAATGTCCAATTATTTCTTCATGAAATTTTGTCTTCCTTGCTTGGGGCAAGCCTCCCATTTTTGTGTGTAACACTTGATACTTGTGTCATGACTTTTTCTTTGCTGCTTCTTCTTTAGCTGTAAATAAAGTTAGAACACAAGATAATGCCTATTCTATAATTGTACTGCCAAATTCGTCAAGAAATTTTAATTAATGCATCACAATGGTAGTTCGTTTTATAAGATTATGCATATTCTATGTATAGTAAGGTTTTATGGACCTTAGTTTGTATAAAGGTACTATGGTTCAAATTGAAAATGAAAACTTTTAGTATGATTGTTACATTCATTTTCTTATTTTTATTTCATTTCACTACTAACTGGTTATATTCTGTTAATGTTCAATATAGTCTTGGGTTTGTGGAAATAGGTCTAATAGATCCAAATTCAGAAACAAAATGTTATCTTTTCTTATCTGGTCTTTTTTTTCTGTATAATATAATAAAAGAACAGTGTTCCAATGCCCTCTGCCCTATGTTGTAATTAATGGACACAAGTGAAATTGTTTACTAAATATGTTCCTATCTGTCATACTTTGATTTTCAGAGCTTAAAAGTTAGCCCTCAAGGATTTACTACTTCTTTTATAAAGTTTTTTTTTCATTCGTAACTGCTTTCAAGTCCCCTGATTGTTTAAATAGAATGAAGGTTCATTAGTACAGATTCACAGTCAAATTCATTTTTTAAGCCAATTTAAATAGAAGGCCAAAAGAAACAAAGACTATATCCTGCATATGGAGGGTGTAGGTACTTCATTTCTGACAGTGGAATTCCATTTATAAATTTTAATACAGTGATTATTAAAGAACTTTTTACAGGAATTGAGCATTTATTAAACTGTGTTTCTCTATATTCTTAGAAATCAAAATAGATGTGACACAAAAAATTTCATATGTCATAATGATAATGTATAATCAGCAACCTTAAGTCATACCTTTTTGCTCCTCTTTTTTTTTAGTAGCTTCTTCCCTTTGCTTTCGTATAATTGCCAATCTTGCTAAATCTGCCCTAGCCTCATCTGTTTTTCCTGCCATATGCATCTTTTGGTAATTTGCTTTTGCTTGTTGTTTTTCTATTTCTTCCCTGAAATATTTGCATTTTTTTTTATAGTTTCAACAAAAAAGATATTGCTTTTCCAAATGAAAGAGGTCTGATATTTGTAACACAAACATGGAATCATGACCATGGCTTCCAAAAAATAGCTGTGCCAGCCGGACATTTTTGTCTTATCCTGATTTTAATCCCTTAAGACTAAGTAACAAAAGGCAATCATGGTAATCAGTTGGGCATCATATAAACAATGATTGACATAAAAACAATATTAAGCTTGACTTTTGATACAAATTCGGTGTACTGACGTAAACTGTTCAATTGACAGTACATCATTCGAAGTGTGCAACATTAGCATACTAATATCTGCCTAAGAATCTTTATTTGTGCAAATTACGTTGTTAAAAACTTTATTTTCGTTTTTAGAAGGTACATTTTCCTATACCGGATGTTGACTTGACAATGGTAAAACACGGACCAAAGACGGATACGTAAAATCCGTGTACTTTTACAAAGCACGATTGAGTTAAAGTAGCTCTTTCCACATTATTTCTTCAAGAAAATACTTGAAATGAACGTTAGATAAAGGTATCAATGATAATTTTAGCATTTTTGAAGAATTCGCATGCATAATTTAATCTGACACCTAAGCAAATGTGTACTAGTTCAAACAACGTGGTTCTGAGATTTTTTTGCTTAAAACCTTTAAAACTACCTTTTCAAATCATATTTATATACGTATTTTTGATAATCTAAATCTTTTTGACTAAATCAATTAGATGCAAACCACTGAAATTTATGAAATAACTTTAAATAGACCTATCAATGTCCGGTACACTTGAACAGGTAAATTTCAACTGTCAGACAACTAATCAACCCTGATTGTAATGAGAAGATATTAAAGTAGGGTTTGTTTTGATAGTACTTATTCACCATGTCACTTTTATGACCGGAAATGTGGCTGTTTGAGGCAAAAGGTCAGGTCAAAAAGATCGCAAAAACTTCATTTTTTTCTAAATTATGTTAAAATGGCAAACCCACGTTAAATGTCCGTTTCAGGTTCGGACAATACGACTGTTTAGGAAGCCCTGATCATGAATATAAGATAGCGACAACTTTAATGGAGCCCATTTATATGAAGATCTACATCATCTTTTTAATTGTTTGAAAAATTTGAATCTAAACATCCATGTTAGCTGGTTGTTAACTGTTGACATTAAGCCTATCCAAGTTAAAATGAGCATAGAGCAAGACATGAAAGAATTATTTTGGTTTTAATAGGAAAATTCATATTGTTTTCATTCGAAACAGACCTATTAGACAGGTATAAGACAGCTTTTTTTATTTGAAGCAGCAAAAGTTTTTCTAAAATATCTAATTCAAGTGTTTCATAATTTAAAGTGTACAACAACACATCAAAGAGTATGCAATTTTATTAAGCTGGTGGACATGTTTCGCCTGCCAGGCAGGCATCATCAGGACAATTTACATACAGAAATTAATTACCGAAGTACTAAAAGTGGTACATTAAATCTGACGTCACAATTCGTGTTGTCAAGGTGAGAGAAACAATGAAAAGTGAAAGTAGCATGTTGTAAATAGATGAGATAAATATAGAAAACTAGAGGCTCTCAAGAGCCTGTGTCGCTCACCTGATTCTACTTTGGTTTTGGAAATCATGTAAAAATAGATTAAAATCATAACAGATACCCTAATAATGAGTGAGGCCAAATTTGGTTTAATATTGGTCCTGTAATTTAATAAAAAATCCTGGTGGTCATCTTGAACAGTAAATCTGCAACAAAGTAGCAACACTTAATCAGCACCTCATAAAAAACATTTATGCCATGTTTTGGTTTCATTCCATTCAGTGCACCTCTAGAAGAAGCATTTGTATGTATTTCCCATAGGGTCTTATGTTAAAGGAAGTCCCCCCATTGGCGGCCATCATGGATGAAGGATCAGCTTCAAAGTAACAAAACTTAGTCAGCACCTCATAAGGAACATTCATGCCATGTTTGGTTTCAATCCATTCAGTATGTGGTTCTCTAAAAGAAAACATTTGTATGTATTGTCCATAGGGTCCTTTGTTAAACATTGTCCCCATCTGGCAGCCATCATGGATGAAGGATCAGCTTCAAAGTAACAACACTTGGTCAGCACCTCAAAAGGAACATGCATGCCATGTTTGGTTTCATTCCATTCATAAGTTCTCTAAAAGAAAACATTTGTACGTATTTCTCATAGGGTCCTATGTTAAACTAAGTCCTCCGCTGGCAGCCATCTTAGATTATGGATCGGCTTCATAGTAACAACACTTGGTCAGCACCTCATAAGGAACATTCATGCCATGTTTGGTTTCATTGCATTCAGTGGTTCTCTAAAAGAAGACATGTGTATGTATTTCCCATAGGGTCCTATGTTAAACTAAGTCCCACGCTGGCTGCCATCTTGGATGATGGATCAGCTTCAAAGTAACAACACTTGGTCAGCACCTCATAAGGAACATTCTTGCCATGTTTGGTTTCATTCCATTCAGTGGTTCTCTAAAAGAAGACGTTTGTATGTATTTCCCATAGGGTCCCATGTTAAACTAAGTCCCCCGCTGGCGACCATCTTGGATTATGGATCGGCTTCAAAGTAACAACACTCGGTCAGCACCTCATAAGGAACATTCATGCCATGTTTGGTTTTATTCCATTCAGTAGTTCTCTAAAAGAAGACATTTGTATGTATTTCCCATAGGGTCCCATGTTAAACTAAGTCCCCTGCAGGCAGCCATCTTGGATTACGGATCGGCTTCAAAGTAACAACACTCGGTCAGCACCTCATAAGAAACATTCATGCCATGTTTGGTTTCATTCCATTCAGTGGTTCTCTAAAAGAAGACATTTGTATGTATTTCCCATAGGGTCCATTGTTAAACTAAGTCCCCTGCTGGCGGCCATCTTGGATTATGGATCAGCTTCATAGTAACAACACTTGGTCAGCACCTCATAAGGAACATTCATGCCATGTTTGGTTTCATTCCATTCAGTGGTTCTCTAAAAGAAGACATTTGTATGTATTTCCCATAGGGTTCCATGTTAAACTAAGTCCCCCACTGGCGGCCATCTTGGATTATGGATCGGCTTCAAAGTAACAACACTCGGTCACACCTAATAAGGAATATTCATACCATGTTTGGTTTCATTCCATTCAGTGGTTCTCTAAAAGAAGACATTTGTATGTATTTCCCATAGGGTCCTATGTTAAACTAAGTCCCCCGCTGGCGGCCATCTTGGATTATGGATCGGCTTCAAAGTAACAACACTCGGTCAGCACCTCATAAGAAACATTCATGCCATGTTTGGTTTCATTCCATTCAGTGGTTCTCTAAAAGATGACATTTGTATGTATTTCCCATAGGGTCCTATGTTAAACTAAGTCCCCCGCAAGCGGCCATCTTGGATGATGGATCAGCTACAAAGTAACAACACTTGGTCAGTACCTCATAAGGAACATTCATGCCATGTTTGGTTTCATTCCATTCAGTGGTTCTCTAGAAGTTCAAAATGTAAAAAGTTAACGCCGACGACGGACGCCAAGTGATGAGAAAAGCTCACTTGGCCCTTTGGGCCAGGTGAGCTAAAAATAAAGTTTGTTTAAAATTTAACTTGAGTTCGTTTTTCTTTTATATGATGCATGACATTGTTCTAAAGGCTTGGTATCTAATGGACAACTTTGCAAGGTTTCTCTCCCAACATAGCATTTTGATAAGGTAATTTTAATTACATGTTAAGAATGGTCTGAAGTCAAATAATAACTACTTCATTTGTTATTATATTGAATAGTTCCTCAGCAGTATTCTTTTACTTCTTCACATGATGTAGAAATTACTGTGGGCAGTGGATAATTGAAGAGCTGTGGGGAAGACAGAATTATTCTGATGGTGCAGAAGTCCTGTAGTGTAATATTATACTGGAGAACAGACTTGAATGTTCATGATGTTTTGAAGTTGTTTATAAGAAGGATTTGCCAACTTATATGATTTTAGTGGCAAAATAATCTATCATGATGTTTTTTAATGGCTTAGTCTTAATGTGTTTTCAAAACTTACCAATCTAGAAAATTGTCTGATTTTTTTTTAGTCTTCCTGTGAAAATTGTGACAGAAATGTGTTTCAAATGAACAAAGCTATCCAGTTTACCTCCTCTATTGGAGTGGTGGGACCAGTTTAATGGGGAAGTCATTCAAATTTCTTTTTTGTATCCAATCTTCTCTCAAGACATACCTTTCTCGTCTTGTCAATTCTGTTTTGCCACCTTCTAATTCTGTAACCTTTTTAATAGCTCGGCCTTTCATTCTATTTGGGTTTTCAACTTCTATTAAGTGTTCTACACCTTTATGCCTATCCTGAAAAAATAAATTGATACAGACTTTTATTTACTTCCAAGAGGTAAGCAACATTGTAAGACATGTTGTCTATATAGAAATAAGATATAACCAGTATTGGGGCCTGTTCACATCTTTCTAATGTCCTTTTCCTCCTATACAATCACTCTCAAAAGATGACTAACTTTTTTAAAGTATACATTATAAACATTTATCTAGTAATATTACAATGTACTGTGTACTGAAATAAAGTCATGAAAAAAACTTTACCTTATTTCAAACTTGACCTGCATATAGAACATTTATGATTTCCCTCCATTTGGCTTGGAGTGTGTTCAATGAGGTCTATAAGGACAAACTTATCAACCATGGCATGAGACAAATTATTAGCCCCAGGATTTTTCCCTTTTCCCGAACTTTTTTGGTCAAATATTGTTTTTTATAAAGTAACTACTGTGGATTCATTTATTTTCGTGGGTACAAATTTTTGAGGATTGAGGGGAAAACACTTACTGTGGATTCATTTATTTTCGTGGGTATCAATTTTCGTGGATAGAGAAAAAAAGACGTTTCGTGGTATATGTAAATTCGTGGATCGCTGATTACAAAAAAAAATTCAGATACGTAATTCGTGGATTTCTTTTTAATTTAGAAGATATAACTTCCTTGGTTTGATCAATAATAAAACAAAGAAAAAAGAAGGAATTCATTGAAAACAGTTTTGAATTGTCAAAATCCTCGCTTGGTCATATTAGGTTAAAGTGTTCATTGAAGACTTCTATTACAATAATGGACAGAGACAAGTTATTATTTGTTTGTTTTACAATTTATAAATTCTTGTCGGAATTTTATAAGGCATTCAAAACTCTATGATTGAAAGCTCAGTTCCCTAATCACGATATAATAAAGTTTAAACAGTCATATAAGTAAAAGGTGTGAAAATAAATGTTCCTGTCATAAACAATATTACCTACGGGCAATATCCCCGTACTTAATCCTATTGATTTTTAATCACCAGTAAACCAAACTATGACACGGTAATTAACAACTTTCAGTTATTTTCCATGAACAGTTTTAATCAATTTTAAAAAGTAACTTATCACTGATATTCGATATATTAATTATTGATTTAATCAAAATACTTGTATCTTCTTTCAATAAAAACAAGTGTGATGTTTATCGCTAGTCAACACTATACTAGAACTGCATAACATAACCGGAAATAAACATCCGACTCCATACACATTTCTCGGGATTATTCTTCGTTGAATTCTTAAATTCGTGGTTCGCTGTGACCCACGAAACCCACGAAAATTGGTATACCACGAATAATAAAATGCTCCGCAGGGCGCAGCTTGATACGACCGCAGAGGTCGAACCCTGAACAGTTGGGGGAAGTATGGACACAACATTCAAGCTTGATACAGCTTTGGATTTGGATTGTGATTAAATATTTGACACAGCATAGGTTTCTAACACAGATTGAATGTGGTCTAAGAACTTAAAAATTTTAAATTGGACATTCACCTATTATGGTCCAATATCCAAAATCTAAAAACATGGTTAGATTCAGCATATCAAAGAACCCCAAGAATTCAATTTTTGATGAAATCAAACAAAGTTTAATTTCGGACCCTTTTGACCTCAATGTGGACAAAGTTGATAACGGGGCCCAAAAATCAAAAATCTAAATACATGGTTAGATTCAGCATATCAAAGAACCCCATATATTCAATTTTTGTTGAAATCAAACAAAGTTTAATTTTGGACCCCGATTTGGACCAACTTGAAAACTGGGCCCATAATCAAAAATCTAAATACATGTTTAGATTCAGCATATCAAAGAACCCTAAGAATTCAATTTTTGTTAAAATCAAACTAAGTTTAATTTTGGACCCTTTGGACCTTAATGTAGACCAATTTGAAAACGGAACCAAAAATTAAGAATCTAAATACACGGTTAGATTCGGCATATCAAAGAACCCCAATAATTCAATTTTTGATGAAATCAAACAAAGTTTAATTTTGGACCCTTTTGACCTCAATGTGGACAAAGTTGATAACGGGGCCCAAAAATCAAAAATCTAAATACATGGTTAGATTCAGCATATCAAAGAACCCCATATATTCAATTTTTGTTGAAATCAAACAAAGTTTAATTTTGGACCCCGATTTGGACCAACTTGAAAACTGGGCCCATAATCAAAAATCTAAATGCATGTTTAGATTCAGCATATCAAAGAACCCTAAGAATTCAATTTTTGTTAAAATCAAACTAAGTTTAATTTTGGACCCTTTGGACCTTAATGTAGACCAATTTGAAAACGGAACCAAAATTTAAGAATCTAAATACACAGTTAGATTCGGCATATCAAAGAACCCCAATAATTCAATTTTTGATGAAATCAAACAAAGTTTAATTTTGGACCCTTTGGACCTCAATGTGGACAAATTTAAAAACGGGGCCCAAAATCCAAAAACTAAATACACGGTTATATTCAGCATATTAAAGAACCCCATGAAATCAAGAATAAAACCCCATTGAAATTGGTCAAGAAATAAGCAATTTATAGGAAGTATCTTCTTTTGCACAATCCTGTGCTATTAAATATTTCTTGCTATTGCGCAATACTGTACAATTGACAATTTCTTGCTATTGCGCAATATTGTGCTATTGGATATTTCTTGCTATTGCCCAATACTGTGCAATTGAAGATTTCTTGCTATTGCGCAATACTGTGCAATTGAAGATTTCTTGCTATTGCACAATACTTATTATATAATAATTTACACATCCTGTTTGGTGTGTATCTCCTACCATATCATTATTATTTGATTTTAAATATAAATCAGAAATAACCAACTTAAAATGGAAAATTTTAAAAGAAACAAAAAAGGAAAAAAAGAAAAAAAAGGAAAAAAAAATAAATCCCCCCCAAAATTTTTTGAACCCCATTATGATTCATCACCCCCAAACTCAATCCCAGCCTTCCCTTTGTGGTATGGTACCTTGCAGTACAATTTCAGAGAGATCCATACACTTGAACACAAGTTATTGTCTGGAAACTAGAAAAAAATGTGTTTTTTGGCCCCTTTTTGGCCCCAAATTCCTAAACGTTTAGGGCAATTACCCCCAAACTCAAACCCAGCTTTCCCTTTGTGATATGGACCTTTGTAGTACAATTTCAGAAAGATCCATACACTTACACACAAGTTATTGTCATGAAACTAGAACTAGAAAAATGCCTGTTTTTTGCCCCTTTTTTGGCCCCTAATTCCTAAAATTTGGAGGCAATTACCCCCAAAATCAATCCCAGCATTCCTTTAGTGATATGGAACCTTGTGGTACAATGTCAGAGAGATCCATACACTAACACACAAGTTATGTCTGGAAGTTACAAAAATGCTTATTTTTGGCCCCTAATTCCTTTACTGTTATTACCATAACCCCCAAAATCAATCCCAACCTTCCTTTTGTGGTATTGAACCTTGTGGTAAAATTTCATAAAGATCCATTCACTTAAACTAAAGTTAGAGTGCGAAAACCAATGTGTCTTTTGGCCCTTTTCTATGAAACATGTTAATTCTAAAGCTCCTACATTCTGAAAATTGTTTGTAATGTCAGCTATTATCCAGAACAGACTGGTTCATGCTGCTTGCCTGATTTGTGGAATGTCACAGACTACTACCACTGTTACTTTCTATAAATATTTTCACCAATGTAACATGCAGTGTAAAAACTGAAGCAAAAGATACATTTCATTTAAGTATATCGTTAAAAATATACATGAGGGGGGAAGGACCTTTTTCGTGACGTCATGTTTTGTGTGAATTCAGGATTTACACTTATCAGGACTCCCAAATTAATGATTTATTTTTTGGGATCTTGGTAAGAATGCATTATTTTTTTGGGAAGTCGAGATTCAGAGTTAATTCTGGAAATTCGGGATGACTTGTTACCCTTTCTACCCCTTACATATATGTGAATTTTCAACATTATGTGAGGCAAATAAATTGAAGAGTGCTGAAACTGTATTAAAAGTATAAAGTATTTACAGATTCATCATCTGAATCCTCTTCAGAACTAGATGGTGGTAGATCCCCTGGGGCAGCAGCTCCTTTATTTTCCTCTCCTTCTTTTACTGCCTCCTTCCCCTCCTCTTCCTCTTCCTCCTCACTTTCTATACCCTGTTTTCTCTGAAATAATAAGAATAGCTACTGGTCAAACTGAAATTCAGAAAACTGTCACGACACAAAGAATGAAAATCTACTTTGTTACCCTCATAAATCAATTTTAATTACTGTAAGTTGTAAAACATACCTGCTTATCATTCAGATATTTACCTTGGCCAGAGTATTAGTAAGTCCAAAAACTGTAACGATTCATAGAAATCTGATTGAAATACATGTTCTATATCAAATTGGGCATTTTCTGATTTTTTATCTATTTTCAAAAACACTCATATCGACCAGTACATTTGTTTATAATGTAAACATCTTTACTTATTAGAGACTTAAAGTTGAAACAAAACTAACTGATAAAACAATAGGTTGTCAAAATGGCAGAAAACCAGGTTTGAAAATGATTGCACCGAAACAACATAATTTAAGCGTCATTCAATCAACCCCTGAATAACAAAAAAACAATATGCCAAAATTGACATAAACAAGCATTCTGTGAGTATTGCCTGGCAATACATAGTCCCCTACCAGTTAAAAATTCATTGTACTGGAACAAAATGCTATCTTGATCTATAACTTGTCATGGTGTAAACTATATAACAAATATCGTCAATATCTTCAAGCATGACGAAAAAAAAATGTGGAAAATTGATTATTTGAGTGAATTTTTGAAGTCCAAGGACCATAACTCTGCACAAATCATCAGAAATCTTCAAGCATGACAAAAAAAAGTGAAGGAAACAGACAGACAGACAGACTGGAGTGCAAACCTAAAGTCCCTTCTACCGACTTCAAGTCAGTAGGGCACTAAAAACAACATTTAAATTTGAAAAGCATAGCTGTCAAATGACCCGTATTCTGCGGGTAACACCCGAGAATTTCCCCCTTCACACAGGATTTTTAAAATTTGATTGAAAAGTAACAATTCAAGGATTGTTTGTTAATTGTACCACAGAAAGTTGAAGCCAGTCAAGCTTGACATACAATTCTATGTCCTGATTAAAAGATTTTCCGTTTGCAAATATCAAATATCCTGTAAAAATCATTTGAAAACAATTAGAACTTTTAATACAATTTTGTTGGAGAGAATTATTTTGTTATCACTTAATTGTAAAAGCTTTAAATCAAATCCATATGCTCTAGATCATGTCTACAGATGTTACACTGAAAGAAAACACACTAACTTCTTTCTATTTATCTTCCTCCTGTGTATAGGAGCACATTAGCTATAATTGATTTCTAATTACATATGTATAGCTGGGGTTTATGACATTCATTGATAAATAGAAGTAAACTAGTGTGAATAAAACAATAAAAGGGCATTGCTTTAGAAAAATATTTAATTAATGATAAATATTTATATACTTAAAGTTTAAAATACAAAAGTGATTATTTTTAGGAAACTCAGTGGTACTTCATGTATATATGTTATAGTACACATTAAAAAATAAACTCTCAATACTAAAATTGGAGCGAAAAAGTTCATACGCGTTATGACCTGACAATTTTCTTCTTCAATGCATTTCGAATTTCAGAGGTTGACAGGTATGGAAATGGATTGTTAAGTTTGAATGGTTCTTGAGTTATTGCATGGGAAGGACATAATGTAAAGAATCATTTCTTAATCAATAAACAACCATACATTGTAGTGAAATTCTTTAATATGGAACTTAACCTCTTTTTTGCAAGAGAAACAACATATTTCAGAGTTGTCAATGTTTTTTTTACCAGAAATTGACTTCTGTTTTCACTATTGCTTGTAAAAATGGTAAAATCCAAGAGAAACGAAAATAAATGATGTAATTGATCACATGATTGATCACATTATTGATTTATGGTAATGCAATAAAACCCAAGTACTTCCAAATTTGCTTACCTTCAATCATATGTTTACCAGCCATAAAGTTGTCAAAGGAAAAATTCATTATGAAATGATTGCAAACAATTGATTTAAAGAGCTAATTATTTTATGTAACACACTGGAAATAAAGTAAACAATTGTATGTTAATAAGAGGATTGTTTTGTACATGTATTTGATCCTTTTGGCAGAATGGATTTCGAAAAAAATGAAAAACCTGACTTTAATTTTTCCTGATGAAGAGACTGCTTCTGATGAACAATGGCATCACCTAGATTCCACTGTCCCATGTAGTCAGACTCAACTGTTCGTTCACTACATTGTAGGCGAACACTTATACTAATTTCCATTTGCATGATGCATGTTTCTGGATTTACCTTCAGCAGCTAGATTCAGACCAAAAGTTTGGTTAATCAAAATGCCTGAACATTTTATCACGTATATGAACATTTAAGCAAAGGATTTTACTAAACCCTTTGTCATGCCAGCTTTTTCTGCTGTCAGTGTAAAATGTAATGTTTAGTGCCAAAGTCAGTGTAAAATGTATTGTTTATTGCCATAATCTAAGTCCATTTATCAGTACCTTAACCAGCCTTGTATAGTTCTACCTGGTACATTGTCCACACCTCCCTCCTTGACTGGAGAATTCAGGTAAAAAAACTTTTTGTTCTCGACTCTAGAATTCAGGTAAAAAAACCTTTTTGTAACTGTTCGAAAACGTCTAAGGAAACTCTGGTAATTTCAAATTGTGTGTGATCGTTTGTGGTATTTTCATGGAAAAACCTGTTTTCCATCATCAAATAAAAGTTGAAAATGCTTGAAAATGATTCAAGAATACTTCAAGAGTGTTAAAATAAGTCCAAATCACAATTGAGAAACTTGTGTATGTTTAAACCGGAAGTTCCAATAGCATGAGTAAATGGAAATAATACGGTGAGAGTGAGGAAAATCCGTATTTAATAGATACCACTAGAATACGACTTTTAAAGTAAAACAGCTCCATCCTTTAGTAAAATGCTGTTAAACATATCCATCATATTAATGTTTGAAGGATCTTAAGCTAAAACAAAACACATGCGTCAGTATTAATCTCTAAAACGAAAAGAATAACCGATTACATTTTGTAGTTTATACATCGTTTTGAATAAACTGGTTCCCAGCTAATTTATACACTTTTTTCATTCTGTTAAATACAAGTGGTTTCCAGTTTATATTATGCAATGTTGTGAAAAGAAACGAGAAATTTGTACTGAAGCATTTAATTTTGAAATAAATCACTTTATAATGGATTTTGAATTAAAATTGCACATTCATATGGATTAGGTAAAATACTAGTTTTGAAAATGATAAGCGCGCCCTCAACAATTTCAATAACAAACATGGCGTAACATAAACAAACCTTGCGAAATGAAGTTTTTCTCTTAATTCTTGCTTATCGTACTCTATATTCGGCACCCCTGTCTTGTAGGTTTAATTTTAGAGAAATAAAACTGCGGACTATATATACAAGCCTGAATTCAGTAATATATAAGAAATTTTTTTTTAATTTTTTTTCTTTTCTTCAGATATCTTTTCTATCTTGAGTTACCATGGTTATTGATGTCTAAATTTTTTTTTACCCCAGGCAGTATGCAAGTGTTAACTGCAAAGAAGTGCAACAATCAGTAAAATACTGAAAAAAATTTCAAAAAATAACTGAAATACTTTAACCTTAGACTGTACTATTCAAATGTTAACTTTAAAAAAATGTATTTAACAGTAAAATACGAAAAAATTAAAAAAAAGTATTTTCAAAATTTTGCTCTGCATACCATTTTTGGTAATAAAAAAGCTTCTGTCCAAAATTACTCCAAATTTCATATCTAAGATTCTATCAAGGTTTGTCAAAATTATTGATGCATAAAAAAACTTTAACCTCACACATAACCTAAATGTTGACACTTAGAAATGTCAGAATAGGGTCACTCACTGGACAAAAAGCATAATTATCTGAAATAATCAGATGCATAATGGATTTGTAATCAATAATACCTCTTTTTAATACATTTGTCATATCATATGTTTGTAAATTAAAAATAAATGGGGAATGTGTCCATGGGACACAGATCGATGATGCCCCCGCTTGCATATCATATAAAGTTATAAAGGGACATAACTGAAGAACGGTAAAAGTGACACTACCCAAATTTGTACTTGATCTCAGTTTTGTGGTAATGTTTACTGTGAATAAATTTCATAACATTTGGTTGAGGCAAACTTAAGTTAGAGAACGGAAACGAAAAAATCAGCAATTTTTCTATTTGTAAAGGGACATAACTCTAGAACAGTAAAAGTGACACCACCAAAATTTAAATTTGATCTGTGTTTTGTGGTAATAAGCATTGTGTATATAAGTTTCATAACATTTGGTTGCGGCAAACTAAAGTTAGAGAATGGATATCAATTTTGGGACGTACAGACGGACAAGGGTAAAACTTAATGCCCCCTCAGCTACAGCTGGGACATAAAAATTGTTTACACATGTTTCAAGCATGATCTGAAAAAATAAGGTCTGTTGACAGGTATAAGGTTACTGCAATAAATTACTTCATTTCTTCGTTTGCAAAATATACACTTTATCATTGTAATTTTTTAATAATTGCAACATATACCTGGTTTCATCATTAGTACCACTAACATGCTTAAATTTAAATACTTCTCAGGGTTCTACATTACCATTTGTCTGATTGTTCACGTTGTCTGGGACAAGTGGACATATGCATCTGACAAGTAGAATCCCCATATTAGTTGTCCGCCGGGACAATTGAAAAATCCATGATATAAAACTTTCAAGACTTACAAATGCCTAAAACATAAACTATTTTTTTATTGCTCATAGGAAATCTAAATTCATTGATTGAACCAGGGGAATATAAGTAAGAAGAGGGAAATCAATGATAAAACATTCTGACTGAAAGAAGCTTTCTTATCAAGAGATAAATCCAGAGAGATGTGGGTCTTCTGAATCACGATCTCTAATATGTTTCATCAGTTGGGATTCACAAGGCAGTTTTACACACATTCATGTATTGATTGTTTACCTGCGAGATGGAATCAAAGTAAAAATTGATTAAAGAAAATTCAAATTTACTGTTGCAGCAGTAACCATATGACGACAGAATCGATAGGTTCCATTTATCCTCATTTTTCCCCCCAACTAGGAAATTTAATATAACCAGTCCATTTCAGATGCTTTTTCATTGGTTATCTATCTGTGAATAAAGGACAGACTTTAGTCATTTCTGTAATCTCCAACGTTTTACAGTTTTGGGTCAAATTTGAGGATCATTAAATACAAGACACTATTTCAAAGTTTTGGGGGAAATTTAAAGATCAGTACTATAAGACAATAGTTAAAAATAAACATTGAAAACAATAATTTCTGGGTACATTTTAGATTCTAAAAGGGTCTCTTTTGGGGAGTTTCAGGAAAAAATGGGGCTTGGTATTTTTAAGGGGGTAAAAAAGGAAAAACAATTTTCTCTTCAAAATGAAATCTTTCTTTTATTCAAATAAACAATAGTACAAATTAAATCATTCAGGTTCAGAAATTCAAATTTCCCCAAATTTGAAATCAGGGGGAAAGAGTGGGGGGAATGAGGATATTGCCGAGAACCCAATGATATGGGCAGTTATGATAATTGAATCCATCATAAACTCCACACATATGTGATAGTGACATTGAGTCAGAGAACTTACTTTGGAATGGCAAATAACCTTTAAAAAATTACAAATTTATATAACACAGCAAAATACTACCTTCATCCGGTATGCTAAAAGCCCGAAGAGAGACTGCACATTATTAATATGTAAGATTTTTAACTTCGGATTCAGACAAGAAAGTTAAGAGGTCAGACTAGTTGATTTTCTTGCAACTTGTCCAAGTAAGAAAAAATGATAATGTAGAGGCCTGCTACTAGCACCCATAGATAAATTGGTAGAATAATAATGTTGAGCCTTGCCACATAATACAACTTACATGTAAGATGCACAAAGGCTGTCAGTTTTAGATCTTAAGTGTTTAATATATACCAACTTACAACAGTAACATACCCTCCATTCTTTTTGCCTTTCTTCTTTTTCCTGTGCATGTTTCATTTCAGATTCATCTGTAAAATGTCTTCTTTGACCCTTATGGGTCTTTTTGTTTCCTCTTGGACCCCCTAAAAAGAAGATCAATATTGAATACATTCAGTTTTCATGAATATTCTATGTATGCACTGAAAATATTTTCACTAAGAGATAGTGGACAAAAGTGAGTTCCCACTCAAAATATGTTTTATCATTTCAACTAAAATTGATATTTTTCAAAAAAATATTACCAAGTAACTACATGACCAATTTTTATCAAATAAATACCATAAGATGCAAAAATGTCTGATATTTTATTGTTTATTTGGCCATAATTTTCATGAGAATCGTTTTCATTTCAAGTGAAAAATCAACAAAACCACATTGTTTGAACTAGTACACATGTACACATACTTTTGTAGGTGCAAGATTTAATTATGCATCCGAAATCTTCAAAAACGCTAAAAATATAAACTGATTGATAACTTTATCTTAAGTTCTTTTCAAGTATTTTCGTGAAGAAATAACATGCAAAGAACTAAGATTTTACGTATCTGCCTCTGGTCCGGGTTTTATCATTGTCAAGTCAACATCTGGTATCAGAAAAATGTGCTTTTAAATAAACAAAAGTAAAGTTCTAACATCACGATATTGTATTAATAAAGTCTCTAAGGCAGACTTTAGTACAGTTATTATGAACATTTTGAATGATGCACAGTCAATGTAACAGTTTACATTAAAACATCAAATTCATATTAAAAGTCTGAAGTTTAATGTCGTTTACTTTATATGTCGATCATTGTTATGATGCCCAAATTATTACCATGATTGCAGCTTGTTACTAAGTCTTACAGGATTGAAATCAGAATAAGAAAAAATTTATGAATACATCCATTCATAATGCTTTTAAAAAATTGTAAGGGGTTTGCGGAACCCTGTCTCGCCTGCGATAGCTGCTGACAGTGTAAAAATGTAAAGTTGACTTAAAATGTGAGTCCATTTATCAGTAAAATACAGAATTTAAAAAAAAAATCAAACTTTTTCTTTAGATGCTTGGTCTTGAAGGTTTGATAAAGTAATTGATGTGTAACAAACTTTAACCCAATACTCTGTGTTCTTGTTAACTGTAAATTATTCAAGCTTGATACTGTCTGAATTTGGATTGTGATCAAATTTTTGACATAATATAGGTTTCTAATACAAAATAAATGTGGTCAAAGATCTTATAAATCCATTGCGCAATAATGTGCAATTGAAGATTTCTTCTTGAAACTTTTCAAAAATTCGAAACTTTTAAAATTTTGAAAAAAAAATATAAATCCCTTAAAAAAATTGGGAAAAAAATCCCCCCCACCCAACTTTTTGAAACCCCCCTTGGAGCAATAACCCCAAAACTCAATCCCAGCCTTTCCTTTGTAGTATGGAACCTTGTAGTACAATTTCAGAGATATCCATACACTTACACACATTATTGTCTAGAACAGTCAGGGGACTTATTGAAATAAGTGATTTTTAAATCACTTATTTAAGTAGCAAATTCGAAGTTTTGTCACAAATTGTGATTTCGTAGTTTTACCAAAATTTTAAACACATAGGTTTAGATAACATCTTTTCATTAATAAAATTGAAAAAAATGAACTTTTTGCTTCTTTTAAGCAGCAAGGTTTATGCCTTTAATGCAGTCATTTAGCTGCAAATTCTATTTTAGTTGAAAAAATGCTATAAAAATGGCTTTACATAATGAACTGAAACTTTCTTAACAGATTTTTCCCAGCAGTGGGAGTATTTTTCCTGTAAAATTCAAGGTTTCATCTTATAGATTATGTAATAAAAATTCTACTGTTCGCGATCAAAATTTCACTGTTCGGGGGTGTTGAAATTAGTGGGGGTTATTAAAATAATGATACTTAAAGAAGTGATTTTTTGGAAGGAAATTGAGGTATGATACTTAATCAAGTGATTTTTATGTCATTATCCCAGATTTAGTACAAGGTCATCACCTGACATGACCCGGTCATCCTATCAACACAGATGTTGGTTCTGATAATTTTAGCAACATAATTAGTCCCTGGATCATTAGTCATGTTAGTATTCTATATTTAAAGCTACAATAAAATTAAATCACTTAGTCTAGTGATTAATTTGAACTACTTAAATAGGTGATTATTAAAGAGACAAATCTAACTTCCAACCTTTATGGACATAATGTTACTTGAATCAGTGATTTGGAAAATCACTTATTTAAGTAAGTCCCCTGACTGTAGAAACTAGAAAAATACTTGTTTTTGGCCCCTAATTCCTACATGTTTAGGGCAATTAACCCAATACTCAATCCCAGCCTTCCCTTTGTTATATGGAACCTTGTGGTAGAATGTCAGAGAGATCCATATACTTACACACAAGTTATTGTCTGGAAACTAGAAAAATGCATGTTTTTGGCCCTTTTTTGGCCCTTAATTCCTAAACTGTTGGCACCATAACCCATAAAATGAATCCCAACCTTCTACTTGTGGTATTAAACATTGTGCAGTGATATTGTTGTCTTTTTTCAAAACTACCTCTACCGTTTTTTATTGGGAAAAATGCATATTTTTTATTGAAATTGGGAAATTTGTATATTTTATTCTAAACGCATCTCCGATTTTTTGCTGACCTTTGCAGTCTTTTTTGCACTGTTTTTTTCATGTATATATTGGTTGTCAGTCATTTTCAACCTGAAAGGTACTTTTCGAAGAGGGGAAAGAAACAGAAGCAATGATGGTACTTAATGCATTGAAAACCACATGTGTTACAAACACCATGATGATTTCGATCAGAAAACCGGATCTCAAAAGTGCTTTCTAATAACATGAATACGATATTTACAAACATTACTACCAATGCCATCACTGTTTGGGGAAAATGTTAAACTTTTTGGGATGAATTTTAAGCCATTTTTTTTAGTAATTGGGAATTTTCTCTAGGGGAAAAAGCCGAATTTCGGCTGTAATTTGAGGCAAACAATATCACTGTTGTGGTACAATTTCAGAGCAATCGAAATATTATACACAAGTTATTATCCTGAAACTATAAAAATGCTTGTTTTGGGCCCCTTGTTGGGCCCCTTATTCCTAAACGGTTGGGACTATCATCCCCAACCTTCCTTTTGTGGTATTGAATCTTCTTCAAAAATTTCATAGAGATCCATTCACTTAAACTAAAAGTTATTGTCCAGAAACCAATGTGTCTTCGGACGACGACGCAGACGACGTCATACCATTATACGATCCCCAAAAAATTTTTGCGGTCGTATAAAAAGGGTCTGTTTTGGTGGGGTAGTAGTTCTTCCAACAGGACTAGTAAAATCCTGCTACTAATAAGTCCTGGGCTTGTGAGCTGTAACAAAATTTGTTAACAGTGTTCAAGCTCGATAGTTTTCACAGGGCGGTCCGTCTGCCCTTTCCCGACTGTGCCCTTTTTCTGATGCCCTGCTGTTTTCCCAAGTCCATGCCTTTATTGTCGTAATATTTTCATGAAAATACTGTAATTCTACCGGTCTTCATATTTCTGACAAGTTAATGACCCTCAGCTAATTAACATTTACAGCAGGTGTTATAAGCCATCGGAGGGATCACTTATCCGTTAATTCAACCTCATAATTGACCATTATAATTATTTTTCCCAGTAAAATCGGTCAGTTGGCATTTCAATTTCAATATTTCTTAAAACACCACAATTTGTTCAACACACTAACATTTCGCTTGAACGATCAACCAAAGGTGTTAATTACCAGTCACCATAAACATGGCATTTTAACTGTTATACAAACAAGTACAAATGTATGTTTACTCAGCTTTAATCTCTTTTGAAAACGATTAGGTTACATAAGAAATACATCTGATTTAATTTTTTATCATTAGGTTGGCATCTTTTGAAAATTCTTACTTTCGAACTTCGAGTCATCGGGGTCAATTTACATGAATTTTACATCGACGGGACTAAAATTTACTCGACCTTAACCGAGTATTCGAATCAACCGAGTTCGACTCATCAGAAGTAATTATGCATTGGTCAAACGGGAATTTTACCGGGACCTGGAAATTACTTCGACTCATCCGAGTTTTCGACACAACCGAGTTCGACACAACGAGGTTCGACTGTAATTTGTAAAAGTAACAATTATTTCTAAATTGTTACGTTTCAACATTTTCTTGGTATATGAATAGATCTTATCGCTATTTGTGAATCTGCAACACTTGAACTTTTGACCTCATACAACAATCGCTTTTTCTTTGAGGCTTCAAACATTTTCTCGCGACTTCAAAATTTTATGGGAACCTCTGTGATGTCCAGTAATGGCGGACAAATAGTTATTTATATGGACTTCGTCCTCTTTCACAGGTTATAACTGCCTCACATTATTAGAATTACCAGTGGTATAGAAACAGATGGTATAAAACCATCTTCTTGTGAAATGTGAAACATAATTATATTTCCTACATCCATCATTTTTTTCTTAATTCTGCAATAGTAATAGTTTGTATACCTCTAGGCATTTTAGTATATGTTTGCTAACGTGTTCAAATGGGGTATGAACTCTGTTTTATGGTTCACTCTATTTTTTTGTGTACACAGTGAAAAGTAGTAAATTCACACTTTGCTCTGTCTGTGTGTCCCAATTGGGAGAAGCGAAAATAAACCTGCACATTCGATCTCAATAAAAATATATTGAATGGTTCCATATATTTTTTCGGGGTATGAAACTTTATTAAATCGTTTTAGTAATTTTATTTACATTTAGATTTACTGTAAATTCTATGATTTACCGCAATAAACCCGATAAAATTTTGCGCTTTTTTTCTTTTTTATTTATTTACCGGAAATAAACACACTTTTAGTATAGCCAAAACGTATTTGTGAATCCTGACCATTTTATTCATAAACATCGAAATGCCAAAAGTGAAAAGAAGCAGAAAACCCCCACCAGATGGATGGGAATTGATAGAACCTACAATAGACGAGTTGGACCAAAAGATGAGAGAAGGTAAACATATAAAAGAGACAAAAAAGTTGAAACTACTCTGTTTTGAAATCTATCGACTATCGTGTCTGTATCATTTTTGTAACCAATAAAATAATCTTACTGTTGTGTAATTTAGTCAGAGAATTAAAATACAATATATATTGTATTATATGCCTCTGGTATAGTGGTGGTTACAGATATGTGTGTAGAAAGTGATTTTTTAGTAATGTGAATATTAAGGCCCCCTTTTTGAAAAGAAAAACAAACACAAGCAGGATAAAAAAATTTTATTAATAACTTTTAAACTGTGACCCATTTTTAATGTACATAGAAGTTATTATTAGTATCTTTGCAGGGATTTAACTGTACATAATGTTATTTTTAAATAGTTAGGTATTCACTTAATAATTTTTATAAGGATTAAGGTTCATGTGGACCCATTGGCTAAAATGGCTGCATTTTCACCTCAAAATTTACTCTATGTACAGACAAACCTGCGCATCTGGAAAAATTTTAAGGCATAGCATGCCCTAGATAAATAAACTTCTAATGCATTGTATGTTTTAGAAAATTTAAAACTTGACTGGATTTTGCAGTGCACTTTTTTTCGTCCCTGCAGAAGATGATAAAATAAACAAACAGTCGAGTTTCACTTGATATGGTCCACTCAGGTACACAGTTTAAATCACCAATTAGTGTCAGGTATCTATTGTCCATCTATTGTCCATGTCAATCAATACAGTTCACTTCAATTATTACCTGTGGGGAAGTTCTCAAACCTCTTTCCCAACTTAGTTTATTTTGGCACCTTCTGGAGGAATGAAAAAAAGTGCACTGCAAAATCCCGTTAAGTTTTTAATTTTCTAAAACATAAAATATATTTGAATTTTATTTATCTAGGGCATGCTATGCCTTAAAACTTTTTTAGATGCACAGGTTTGTCTGTACTCAGAGTAAATTTTGAGGTAAAAATGCAGCCATTTTAGACGAAGGGTCCACATGAACCTTAACCAACCTGAGTTCAGTAAGGTTGGTGTACTCCAACTATTGGAGGAAGATATAGAGGAAAGAAGAAGAAGAAGGATACCTGAAAATTTTGGTCTTTTTGATACACAAAATGCATTTTAACTTTATATATATCCAGTCTGTTTGCCCTGGGTTCATCTACGCTATTTTCAACATGAGTTTTAAAAAGGTACTGGGTATAACTACCTACAAAAAGCTGTAAGGCCAATTAAAATTAATTGATAGATTTTCATCCCTGCCCGCCCCTCTGAAATCATCCTGCCCCGATTTTTTTTATTTTTAAAAATTTACGACTTCTGGATTTTGTTTCTCCGTTATCGGTAACCGCCGATAATTTCATTTCATTCAAAACCTCCTGAATTGCAATTTTCGGGTTTCGTATTTCTTTGAGTATTTTAACCAAAATGATTAACTCGACATATTCTGCTGCTCTATGATGGCAACATTATCTTCTGAGAATAGAGATTGAATACAAGTAGGGCATGAAATATTCGTGGTTACGAGTAATAGGCGGTGTCTAAGAACGCAAATCGCGATAAGGCACAAATTTCTGTGCTTAGAAAACCGTGGATTTATTTATTAATAAAATGACTCTGTGTCAGGAAATTTGGACTGTGAATGATACCCAAAGCGCAAGAATCGTGGAACACATTAGAACAAAAAAACATGACTGGAATAAAGAAATTGACACAAGCACGAACTTGTGCGATTTTTGACCGTATATTGAGTACAAAAAGTCGACCAACGTACAAATAGTATTAAAGCAAGCCCTTAGATTTACCCCTAGGCCGTCTTTTTTTGTTGACAAACAGTAAACACCCTCTGTCCCCATCCCCTCAATAGAGACAATAATCAACTTCTTCTTTTTGGTTAAGTTAATGTTCAATTTTAAATATATTTTCACCTTGCATAAGAATCTTAAAAGCATCAACCGTAGTATTTCCAACACAGTTTGAGTTTTCATTTCACTCTGTACTCATAATACTTGTGTTGCATACCAATGCATATGCTTCATTTTATGGGCACTACAAACCATAGCCAAGAAAGCAAAATAAATTTTGTGTAGACTAGGTAGACTAAGAGAGAGCATTTCTCTGGCTACGTTTTTGCTAATTACTAAAATAGGTTTATAAAGCAGCAGTTACATGTAGAAGTTGCCAATCAGAAATATATACAGTGTTCCAGCTAGGTCGTTTTCACAGGGCGGTCCACCCGCCCTTTCCCGAGTGCCGCCCTGTGCCCTTTTTACAGTTTGCAGGGCGCCCTGCCTTTTTTGAAGATCGATTGGTATATTATTTTGTTCGTATTGATATGATCAGCCAATTACGAAAATTTACCTGGCGACAAGTATATGACTTTGTTTACGACCCCAAACTAATCAACGGTTACAACAGGTGTCATAATCTGTTGTTATAGGTAATCCGTTTATCGGATGGGTCATTTAATGATCATCAACATTAATTCATTCAAATAGAATCGGTCAGTCGGCATTTGTCTTTGAACTTGAAGAATTGTTCATACAACTTGGGCACAATTAGCAATGTTTACCGTAGTTTTATGGAGAAAACGTAATTGACAGATAGTCGAAAACCATAATCAACTAGTTAAAAACATTGCTCTTATTGTTTTCCGTGAAATAAATAGCAAATTAAGACGTATTTTTCATTGAATGCCTTTATTTTGTATACGAAAATAACAAAATCGGCCGCCATATTGTTGATCGTATTTACATCTTCTACATACTGTTTATTATCCTCCAAAGAAGGAGCACACCCAAATAAAGAAAGATAACTCAATCTTATTTTTTCCTAGCATTGAGTAACCTACTAAGATATTATAAAATATGTCTTCATACTTTTGGCTTTAGAATTTATATGTTTAGGTGTTTTGAGTTATGGGAAAAGTTAAAGAGGGTCTTAGTAGCAGGGTTGGTAGGGTGCCTTGGTCATCTTTTTCTGTATTTTTTTATTTTCAATCCTAATTTTCACTGTTCACTATATCCTAACATTGTGCATTTACAGCTGTTTTGTGCTGTATTGTCATTAAGCACAGAAAAGGTAGAAAGGTGAAACTTGTAAAGTGTGTCAGACCATAGAAACAGAATGAAGCAGGACATTTTTCAAAAAATACTGCATATAAAGCTTAACTGTGCCAAGCAATGATTTAAAACTTGTGTGACAAGCTGCTTGATAAGTTTTCAGCCTAAAAAGTAGAAAGATAGTTTTTCTCTGGGCTAATGATGTTGTTCTTGTATATATATAACCAGTGATTCAACGAACAAACAATATATATATTATATTTAAGAATTTGAAAAGTTATGTAGGATTCCTTATATATATACATGTATTATACATGATAGAAACTTATTAATATCACCCTTGCATATGAAGAACATGTCACAAAAGGGTTTTGTAGGAAATAAAAATTTAAAATAAAATCCTCCCAACCGCCCCATTTTTTTCAAAATTCTGGATGAAAATCTAATTTTAGTTGGCCTAATAAAAAATAATTATTGTTACTTCTAAGACTATTAATTGCAGAAATGTATTTCCGGACAGGGACTCAATTTCTTATGGAAATTGCAGTTAACAATAATATATGGGTTTTTTTGTGTAGCATCAGGATACTTTGTACTGTCTTAATGTCATTGCCCAGTATACATACATGTATGTTGTTTTACATATTTGAACAAATATATATGTACATGTACGTATAAATAGAAATTATCTTTTGAACATAGCAAAGATTAGTTGAAAGCACATTTATACTTAATAAGAATTCTTTTACTCCTTGGAAAAACACTTTTTGATCTGATTGAGATTAATGTTCTCGCCAAGCAATTTTGTAGGAAATTTCTCGACTAAAACAAATTGTTCCTTTGAGGTTATGAACAGCAAACCATCCAACAATTTCATGGTAAAAGTGAACGTCATATTGGTCAAAACATCTAGAAGTTTAATCATGGTTAATGTTTTTACATCATAATTTGATTGTTTAAATTTATTTCACTAATAGCTCGCAAATTGAACACATTTTAGATCGGTGCTTGCCTGAAAGTGTTTTGTATCAGTAACTATGTGCACTCAAATTGCAAGCTTCAGATAAATAGACTAATACTATAGAACTTTTTATGAATGACATTTGTATATAGGTATGAAAGCGTTGAGAGGTGTACAAAAATAATGTGTACATGTTGTTCACAAAAATTAACATGAAATAACATAACAGTATATTGAAATTACAGCTGAAACAGATCCACATGAAGGAAAAAGAAAAGTTGAAGCATTGTGGCCAATCTTTAGACTACATCATCAGAAATCACGATACATATATGATTTATTTTACCGCAGGAAAGCGATCAGTAGAGGTAATGATGATTGGTACTTTTGCAATAATGAGAATAAGGCCATAAAAAAGAATATGTTTGTTTGCCCTAACCCTACCTACCCAGAATATAGCTGCCTACTCAAAATCTTTTATTGTCCTGATGTGAAAAAGTTTTTGTTTTTAATCAGATAGGCATGATATAATAAACAATTGACACTTCAATTTCTCTTTGCCAAAAAAAAAAGAAAATGCCTGCCTACCTACCCACTGTCTCTACCTTCGAGTAGGGTTTGGGCAAACCAAAATATTTTTAAGTGTGGCCTAATCTTAGTTACTACACAGCATATATATTTGCCAAAGGAGACTGGAATCACAGGCACTTTGTCTCTGAAAAAAAAATTATTTTCCTATGTTTACCTTAATATAATACAAGGTACAAAACAAATGTATTCAACTCAAAATTTGGGAAATGACAATCAAATGCAAACTTTTGTTATATTCCGATTCTTCGGTTGTCTATCCCACTAAAACTTGTTATGCCATAAATCTTCATTTATTTATCTACACAATGATGTATGACACGCCTTCCTTTGTTATCAGAATCATTCGTAGCAGGCCCCCCAAGTATGTCAACCATAATTATTTTGTCTTCTCACAGCCCTTTGGAAATATTAATCTCGCAGTAAATGGTTAATTATAATTGTCCCTTTGGTATCTTTCCCCTCTCTTATACATATCTCAGTTTCCAATTGGTCAAATCTTATCTGCTTATTGCTAAAAATAAATGTTTTTTTGAAGTTATCTCAATTTTATATGTTAAGTCCAAAGAGAGTCTGAATGACATTGATGGAATAAGAAAATTTGAGTCTAAAAATAGAAACTCGTAACTCATTAGACATATAAATAACACTTATTAGATTTTTTTTACGAAATCTTTTACAAATTTACTATCTGTTCAGAGAAAAATGTAACAGATTTTTTGGAAATACTTTTTGTTGAGCCTGCAAAGTTTATTTCGCGAAAGCGAGACATAGCAATCCTAGATTCTGTCAGCGGTGTCAACATTTAGGTTCAGTTTGTGGTTAAAGTTTTTTTTGACATCAATAACTTTGTCAAACCTACATAGAATTAGATGAAATTTGAACAGAAGCTTGTTTATGACCAAAATACAGTATCCAGAGCAAAATTTAAAAAATATTTATTTTCATTTTCCCATATTTTACTGATAAATGGACTTAGTTTTTTTACATTTATCAAATAATTTATTATCAAAATAATAATCAAATACATTTTTTAGATAGAGTCTTGGGTTAAAATTTGTTACACATCAAATACTTTGTCAAACCTTCATATAATTTTATGAAATTTTTTTATGATTAAGATATAATGTCTGAAGCACACTTTTGAAAATATATTTTAATTTTCAGTATTTTTCTGATAGATGGACTTTTTTCACAGTTAACATTTACTGACAGTCTGGGATTAAATTTTTTTGACATGATAAGTTTGTTAACCTTCATGGATTGTTATGAAACTTTGACAGAAGCTAATCCTAAACATGTTAGAGAACAAAGAAATAGCATCTGAAGAGAAAGTATAAATCTTTTTTAACATTCTGTACTTTACTGATAAATGGACTCACTTTTTAAGTCAACATTACACTTTTACACTGACAGCAGCAATCGTAGGTGAGACACAGGGTTCCATGGAACCCCTTACAAATTTTTATAATTAATCATTCACTGCGAGATTAATAGTTCAAAGGACTGTTAGAAGATGAAATAATTACAGTTGACATACTTGGAAGGCCTATTACGAATGATTCCGATAATAGAAATAGGCGTGTTATACACCATTTTGTAGATAATTCAATGTGGATTTATGGGATAACAAGTTTCAGTGGGATAGACAACCGCAAAATTGAAATATAACGGAAGTTCACGACCGGGTGACATTTCTCAAGTATATGAGTTAGGTACCTACATATGACCTAGTGTTATATTAAAGTACATGTATATAGGTAATTTTTTTTCAGAGATAAGTGCCTTTGACTGGAATAGGAACAATTTATAATACTGCAGCAAACCAAAGCACTACTTGTAAAAAAATACATGTTGTTTCAGTTAATCATGCATACATCTATTTACATGTACAAGCTAAAAAATATTAGTAATTGTAAAATATTTATAATGTATAAAGGCAAACTAACCAAAATTAGAAAATGCATCTCACTCGGGGAAGATTATGTGCAAAAGTGAATAAATGTCACAGTGTCATTTGTTTTTGTTGTTGTCTGGTTGTTGTCTCATTAACAAACATCACACTTCTCCTTTCATTCATATTCATTTAAGATTGGACATGTATTTAATTGGAACCTATTGCTAATATGGGATACATCATTTTATCTTAATTTATGACATTCTGATATGCCTTCTTAAATACATGGTTGTCCAATGATATGTACATGTACTGTAACATGTAAACATTTTACAACCCCATGCCTCTATTACCAACCAGTAAGCCTTTCTAATTTACATATTGCCACTACAACATAGATTAGCACCAAATTTGTCCTGATCAGTCAGGGGACTTACTGAAATAAGTGATTGAAAAATTACTTGATTAGGTAAAAATGTTGAAGTAATATAGAAGATGTCTCCCATTCTTATAATTTTGATAGTGACCTAAATGAGTGATATTTGTGATAAGAATGAGTAAAACCCACATCTATAGTAAGCTATAAAAGGCCCTGAAATGACAAATGTAAAACAATTCAAACAACAAAACATGGAACAGGGGAAAAGAAACAAAGTATGGTAACTCATGTTTCTTTTCACATTTGTAAGAAAAACAGTAAATAGAATAAAAACAATAAGTAATAAACTGATACATCAACCTTCACACTTATTTTAATTAACTTATGAAAGCAGCATACATGCAATTCTTTGACAAATGGTTTCCTCACTTAATAGCATGTGATTTATCAAATTATTACCCCAAAATCACTTGTTTAACATGTTTAATTATAATTCAGAACCTATACAAGTTTGGCCTCCAAGAATATGTCCTTGATTTTTCATGAATGAAAAGTGAAATAACCAAACTATTTAGAAAATTATACCTTTTTGATAGGGAAAAATTATCCTTTCTAGTAGAAATTTTGTTTTTAGTACAAAATCATCTTTGTCTGACTGCTGATACTAAGCCCAGGTACGAAAATGTACATTCATAATAACACCATTTGCATATTTTATTGATTCTACATGATTTTTGGATGAATGGAACAGTTAGTACCATTAATTCCCGGTTAAAATTGATTCCATCAAGAATGGTTTAATTTTTGCATATTTCTAATTCCGTGTAAATATTTATGATCAAGCTTCAGAGGTACTTTACAAGAGGTATTAGTATATTATGCAGTTTATCAAATGACTTGCATTTATAACTTCTTTCTAGTTTGCTTCAAAGCAGACAAGTTATATTTCTGTGTCTGCAGTTTTATAAATCTTTTATTCTTAAGTACATGTACACTATGGAAATAAGATTTTTTTTTTTTCACAGATAAGTTACATGAATTGTATACATGTAAGATTGACATATTTTAGTTTTATTTCTTTCTTTTTTCAGAGCTATATGATTATTGTTTAAAAGAAAACATTGCAGATAAAAATTTGATCGCAAAATGGAAAAAACAGGGATATGAAAATTTATGCTGTTTACGTTGTATACAGACTAGAGACACAAACTTTGCAACAAACTGCATTTGTAGAGTCCCAAAGTCTAAACTGGAAGCAGTAAGTACTGTTCATGTTGTACTTTAACACTTTGAGTTTGTAAATGTTATTTTATAGTACAGCACCAGTCCACATTAGTAATTATCATTTGTCTAACGTATCCAGAAGTTATGTTTACTGTTAACCAACTTATTTTCACAGATACAATGTACTTTTCTCAAGTTAAGTCCTTTTCAGCAGATTTGAAGCAATATGTATTTGCGATTTTCTAACTTATTTCGTGTATTTATAAGATATTTACATGTAATTAAAAAAATGTCACTGGTTTCCAAATATAATTCCCATGTACAAACGTAAGATGAGCCATGTTTCATATCATACACATAGATGAAAACTGAGGGGCATATTAATTTACCCCTGTCCGTCCGGATTGGGATACATTGTTTGTCCGGCTATCTCCTCCTACAGTTTTGGAGGTACAACTTTAATATTTTGTAGGATGTTCATACACATAATGGAGGTTTGCATGGCCACAGGATTTTGATTTCTTTTAAATAATCTGAAAATGACAGGTAGTTTGACTAGTCATTTTTTTGGTACAAGCTGCATAAAGCGATCATGGTTTGTCCGGCTATCTCCTCCTACAGTATTGGAGATACAGCTTTAATATTTTGTAGGATGTACAAAAACACATAATGGAGGTGTGCATGGCTACAGGATTTTGATTTTTTTTTTCAAATATTCTGAAAATGACAGGTAGTTGGACTTAGTCATTTTTTTGGTCAGACGGGGTCATCATTTGTGTCTTACAGACAGCGTAACAATTTCAAGTTGTATGCCAACATCACTGTTTGTCTTGTCTAAAATATGTGGAACTATACTCATGCATATCAATGCATATGGCAGAGCAGATAAGGGGGATGGGGCATTGTCCATATCTAGTCTGAATAATAGTTGATATAAACTTTAGCTGTCTAAATACATTCACAATAAGACTGAGTCACTCAAAAAAAGGCCAGAGTAGTATAAAATGTTAGTATGAACTCGGGAAAAACGAAGCCATACAAATGCTGAAAAAATGCAACAGAACCCTATATTTTGAGAAAGAAAAAGAAGGCATTGCATGTAACCCTTCTCATTTAAGTAAAGAATTTTTTATGAAACTTCATAGTGGTTCAATTACAAGTTCATTGTCAATGCTCTTGATTTTACACAACTGAAACCTTATCTGCATTATACAGTATAGTACAGTTTTCAAGCTAGAAAATTTTGATGTTGCAAAGTTTATGTACAAAATGTATATACCCATACAAATAATTTATATGTGTACTTATTATTTACATTCATAATTATAATACTTGTGCATATTGTTAGGATGGATTATGTGAATCAAAAATTGACATACATCCAAACTTTGTTCAAAATCAACACTTTCCTCTATGTAAACCCCTAAGGCACATCATATGTGTTGCACAGACACAAAGTACTTGCAGAGCAAACAAAACAATACTCTTCACCTGTAAAAATTCTGTGCTAGTTATGTACTGATTACCAACTATAATTTAAAAAAAATGATGGATTTATATTTAAAATTTTTGATTAATCGATCATAATTTTCAATAATGGATAAAAGGAAAAGTGTGTATCTTAACTCCTACATTATTATTTGCATTTAAATTTGAGGAGAAAAAAAAATCGAAAAATTGAATTGGAACATGCTGTCTGATTAAATAAATTTGAATATTAAAACAGACAAGCATGTACAATCAATAATGACAATTTTCGAGGTCTGTTTGATTACATATCATATAGCTATATAGTATAAAAATGTATTATTAATAATTATTGTTTTACTAGTATAAGATTTTTTTTGCACAAGCCATCTCCAGCTAAGGGTGGTATGAATACAGATTCAAAGGAGGTTGAAATATTGACTTGAAAGCTAATGGTACTTCAGTGATGTTTATTAGCTTATTTGACAAAATTGAACCAAAATGACTGCTAATAGCGAAATATTATTTCAATATTAATTTCGCTTTTATAAATGTTTGAAACAAAAAATAAAATCATATTACGGTTTAATGTCCAAATCCTAGCTAATACCCCTTCAAAGAACTTTTTGATTATAGATAATCATTTATTTTTCCTATTTTTCAGGGCAAGATTGTTGAATGTATACACTGTGGTTGTCGTGGATGTTCAGGTTGAAACCTTTGTAAAGAAGGCATAGAATTTACTTCTGTGACATTGAAAAGAGAGAGTAATCTACAGAAAAAAACAGATTTGACAGTTTCACTGATTTATGTTATGTATGGTGTGAGATACATTATCATGCAGTATTATGTTTCTGCAGATAATAATGATTTATAAAACTAATCCACTTCTTAAATAGGATATTAAGTGCATATAAGCATTTTGAATAATTTAAAAGGAATATTGTGGTCTCTTCAGTCATTATTTTTGTAAAAACTTGTTGAATCTGTCAACTTTTTGTAGTTTTGCCTTAAAAACTGATTGATTATGCATTGTTTTTTTGTTAATTAACTAATTATTAGGCATATCAATGCTTCCGTTAATTAATTAATGTAATTATGTTTGATACATAGATCAATAGGGATTGCTCATGTTTATAAAAAAGTTACCGCTTACTTCTAAATTACTACAATTTTAATGGCTTCAGGGAAAGATTGGTAACATTGGATCATATTTGCAAATGAAATGATGGTATATTAGTAGTGGATTTATTAAACATATTAAAGAGGATGGTTTTTCATGTATTTAAATTTTAGAGAACAATTTGAAAAGAATCAACCTTTTTTAGTCCAAATGTTATGCTACTGAAGGATTACAATTTCATTTTGAATTAGTTTTAATGTTCATACATGTCATAGTAGAACATAAAATGATTTTTCAGTTATAAAACATTTGATGGATATCGTTTTAAGGCTAAGAAAGACATGTTTCTGTTTCTGGTTATGAACATGAAAATGAAAAATCCGTACAACTATGTTGGTCATATTATTTTTCCGAAAACCAATTTCATTTAAACTGGAGTATTGTATTTGTATAATTTAAATATAGAATAGAAGTCTAAGGAATAGATAGTAAATTTTCAAGATACAATTTTTGTTTTAAATTTTAGAATACTTGCATGGGAAAAGGCAGCGACTCAATAAGTAGGTCAGACATTGTTTTCTGTCAATGCAAGTCTTATTGGAAGATCATGTTCTGATGTAAATAAAGTGATAAGGTCTGATACCAGAAACATAACATTTTTAGTGTTTGCCAAAGTCAATTCTATCAAATTATTATTTTTATGTGGTAATTTGCTTACTTTGAATATATTTCATGATTTTTTGATGATATAGTTTATAGTTTCATCAGATGGTCCATTCCATTTGTGTTTTACTTGTCTTCAATGTAGTATGACATCTCCTTCAGCATATACATTTCATTTTTTGTGTTTATATGTAAATGATTTTGTAAATAAACGAATATAATTCACAGATTTTGTGTAATTCTATTCAAATAAATTAAATAATGAGTTGTTATCAAACGATATCCAAATTTCAAGAGTTGTTAAACCTATTTCTCTTATGGTTAACATTATCTTTGTGTTAAATAGAAAAGTCAGTGACTCATTGATCCAGTCTTTTGCACTTACCAGTATGATATCAAATGTTCGGTTCCAGCATCAAACATTATCATCAGACATTTAAAAAAAAATTGTACGCTTCAAAATGAAATAAAATTTGAGAAAAATAAGATTTTCAGGTGAAAAGTGTGAGTGTTTGTATATTATTGAAGAAATCACATATCTCCATTGCCATGGAGGAAATGTACATTGTGCTGAATGGGCCAATCAAATTAATGCATTTTCTTATCACTTTTCGGTAATACACAAGATGTGCTGTGTAATAGGAGAAATATCTCTTCATGTGAGAAATAGATAAAAGGCTACAATCATATGAGAATACACTATATCCCTTCTGTTACCTTAATACTATCAATCGTTCAAGAATGAAAGTATTGAAATCACAAAAAGTATATTGCTGCAAGTATGCACATTGCCTTCAACTATGAGAATTCTGAAATGGTCCCTAAACAAATTATTTCAGTATTTTGTATGAATGAAATGAATATAGGATTGTAAAACTTGTCAGTTTTTCAGTCCAATCATGGTATACATCTGAAGTCTCATTTCCCAGTTGATAGATCGTTAATACATTTATCACAATGTTTCTTGTTAAAAACATTCTTCATCAATGGAGATCTTAAAAATCTGATGGCCCATGTCGGGAGAGTGACATACTCTCTGTAAGTTAACTTATTTTCAAGTAGCAGTCCAACTTTTCCACCCTTTATCCCGGTCGACCCATATTACAGAACTTACATATTGAATAAGTTGATAATTCTTCTTTGCCTGAATATGCAGGAAATATTTGCCACTAGACATAAAGCAAGCAACTATCAATCAGTCAGCTGTTTCAAAGAAAAAAATTGTTTTCAATTCCTGAAGAAAAAAAGTATAACAGAAATACCGAACTCCAAGGTATATTCAAAAAGGGGAAGTCCGTAAAAACTGACTATATCAAAAGTTATCAATCAAAACATCTTTTCTTACTAGGCTATGCTTAGGTACGATTTACGATCATTGGACATTTTCGAAAATTAATGGATACACAGACACCTTACACCTAATCATAACTTTATATACATGATATAATAATTGTTTCAAAGCCAGCTCAAATTTGATTCATTGCAGACAAATTTGTGTGATCAAAAATTTTCCAATAATTATTTTTTAAGGAAATTAACAGAATTAAAAAGTTGTCACAATAATCCTGATTTTTTTATGTTACTTTTAAATTCTTACATTATTGTCCTGTAAAAGGATGTGACAAGTTAAATTATATAATATTGAAGGATAAATGTTCAATAGTAGGAATAATCAACTTATGTTTTTTTCCTGATTTTTATACATGGGCCTATACTTAAAATAATTTAGTAAATATGAAAAACTGCAAGTACATGATATACATGCTTATCATGGCACTTTAATTGAGTCTAATGTAATTATCTTATTAGTTTATTTTTTTCTGTCAATTTTCGTTGTATGTTTGGCCATGTTTGTATGATGCAATTCTTTCGTTGAAACATTCTGCTGTTTTATAGTGAATACGTAAACGCCACTAGTGATGATTGTAATTAAAATGTTTGAGTAACATTCGGCAAAAAAAAAAAGCCAAAAAACGCCCCCCCCCCCCCCCCCAAAAAAAAACAACAAAAATACAGGAAAAGCAGACGAAACTTTTAAAGAAATTAATGAGAGAGGGGAAAACGAAGAAATAGCTTATTTTGAATAAAAAATATGATTTTATATATACGGAATCAACCATTTCATGATTTCAAAGTCAAATTTTCTCGAGCTCAAACAAAACACTAGTCTTGTATACATTTACAATGTTTTTGTCCCCTGCGCAACGCGTTGCGGGGGACATTGAAATACCGGGTGTCCGTCCGTCCAGTCTTGTTAGCGCTCTCAGGTGTACAATTCTTGCCATATTTTTATGAAACTTATATCATAGGTTTATATCAGCAATGTCTTGGACAAGGTGCCGATCAATTAATTTTGAAAGAGTTATGCCCCTTGGAAACATTAATTATATGGAAAATTGCGACATTAGCACTCTCATGTGAAAAATTCTTGCCTGATTTTTATGAAACTTGTATCATAGGTTTATATCATCAATGTCTTGGACGAGTTCGAAAATATGGGCTGATCAATTATTTTTAAAAGAGTAATGCCCCTTGGAAACATTAATTATATGGAAAATTGCATCGTTAGCGCTCTCATTTGTACAATTCTTGCCAGATTTTTATGAAACTTATATCATAGGTTTATATTAGCAATATCTTCTAATTGAAATCGTTATTCTGATAGGAAATCCAATCAATATAAAATTCAGAAAATTTCGACATTTAGAAACGCCTCCACTATTTTGAAATCGACGTATGGTAAAAGTGTCTGATTAGACTGACTTTTGGAAAATGTCTAGTAGTAAGTTAAATAACGTCATTGCGAAAGCAGACGCTGTTCAGAAATTTAAAAAAAAGGAATCGCTGGAAACAATGTAGTCGTTTCTCTTTTGAAGTACCGTTTTTTAATACTTTTTATACATCAATTAGCCTTTAATGTCATTAACCCATTTACCAGAATGATTTGAATCCGTGTTGTATCTTTATTTAGATAGAAAATGAATAAACGCGAACCCTGATTGATAAATTTAAGTAATGAACTTTTTGGTTTCGCCGTAGTTGGTAACTATTGTGAAGATTTTTATTCAAAACGTCCAAGAGACATACCAGCAGAAACATTTAATCCAGCTAGAAAAAAAAGAAAACATATACCGTTCACACGTACTCATTATTGCAAATTTGCCGATGGAAAACACTCATCTATCTTTTTTTGAGACCATCAGAAAATGTATTTATAAAACAAATATTTATCTGTCATTTTCACTGTGTACTTCCGATTAATAATGCTATGTATTGTCCACTCTATTTTTTCTATCTAAAAAAGCCGGTTCATTAATAAATCTCGTATATTTCTTTGACTTGCAATCACTTTAATCAAATGGATTAACCACAGTCAGAATTTCAGTACAATTATATTGACATTATTGTAATTGAAAATGACGATAATTGCTAAGCATGATTTATTATTTTAGATTTTTTATGAAGCTCTTCTTCTGTTTAACTAAAATGACGAACTGAATATCATGGAGAGTGTTCTCTTTTTAATCATTTCCCAGGTTACAACTAACTTAACTTTCAGAAAGAAATACACATACGGTGACCAAGAGAGCAACATTCAAGTTAATTCTGAGGATTTCTTGGCATTTTTTTATTTTGTTTTTAATCCAGTAGCATATCCGTATGATAATTATCTAATGATAAACCGCCACGCTGTTGCCTCATATAAATATAAAAAAGAAAAAAAAACGTAATAAAGTGTGTGAGACCCAAGAATAAACGCGAATGCATATGTATTATACTAAACCACTCCTCGTTACAGACCGTACAATTCATGTATTTGTTTGTATCTATTCTGTTCCTAGTCACGATGGTGTGGTCTTGAAGTGAACGATACGTTTGATGTTTTTGGGAAATTGCTGAAGACTTTCTTGATATGGATATAAAACTATGGGAATATACACATGTGAGAGAGTAGAGTATGAATAGTCATTGTAAATGGACGTGTATCTAGAAATGAATGATATCACAATATAGAGTGTATATACACTGAACTTGTACATAATAAATATCAACTTGAGTTATATAAACTAATGCCAAGGAAGAGCCCCGTGACAAAAGGACTGATAAAGATATCAAAACGTGTAAAGGACCAACCAGGAACATATAGATATACTGTTCCCAGGACCAACTGATACCATATACATTCTTAATCCGTTTATGTTAAAGTTATGATGGATGACTTTAACCACTATCAAACATGGCTACTATCAACACTAAAAATATACAATGAAGGGTGAAAATCCATAAAATATGAAAAGATTTATTAGTCCAGCTGTAGATGTAGATATTAGAGTGGCGTTAGCCATGAAGATATGAGACTACTACATATGATTTATATAGAAGTAATAAATAATCATTTTCTCTTTTTTGTTGTTCTAAAAAGAGCAATTAGTTTTGATAAAACAGGAATAGTATTATCTCAAATTTTCCAGATGCAGTAACACTTTCAGAAGATGTTTTATAGTTATGGATTTGGATTGAAATATTAATTGTGTCTATTTTTCTGTCTTTAAATTGATACCTTATCATATTATGCTTTTGTATGGCAATATGAATCACTATACTATCTTGTCTTTTTCTGGTTTAATTGACAAAACCTGAACTGTTTGCTGATAAATGATAACACTTCTATGTAAATATATATAAGCATAATACTTTACTTGCATATCCTACTGAGAGGTAACAGAATTTACTATAGGACGAACTACTTTTCCGAGATTTCTCATCAATCAAATATCTTCTTTAAACAATACTATTTAACAATAGAATAAAGGAAAAGCAATTTTGATTTACAATAAAAATAAGCAAATAAAATTCCATACACTGTAGTGTTTTAAAAAACTTAAATTCTTCAGAATACACGAATCACTAATTTGGTTTTAAAGCATACGTTTACACGACATTAATCAGAAATGGTATATTGCTATAAAAACTTCTTTAGACAATCCTTTAATGTACAATATTGGAACACACATTAAAATGATCACTTTTATTGAAGTAAAATAATAACTTATTGTTGAAACATTACATATATCGTTATTTACAGATTTACGTCGGGAACATACTTTTGAACCAGATGTTACAAAAAATATTGCAAATGACAACGAAAACAACGTTTTCTTTGCTCTGAGAAAAGAACCTATTGCTATATGAACCTATTGCATGACGATCATTTACAGCATGCAACACAAAGGACAAAAGTGTAATTACCCGTTAACTTTCTACTCTTTGGAATAAAAACAATCACAGTGTCAACTATTTTTCAAGATTATAGTTTCTTTCATTCACTAAATATTCACACAAAAGAAGTCGAGGAAAAAAACCCAAAACACGGAAAAATATATTTTTCGTGGTTTTTTTTTAACGTTTTAACACTCCGAATTTTATCAACATTGATCAAGCATTCATATACTCAGCTGGGAATTGAGTTTCCAACAGAAAGAAATGTTTTAAAAAATCATTTAGCGTTATTAATTAAGTGCACTGGAAAGCGATTGATCGAGACACTATAATTATAGTATTACAGATTCCAAACGTGTCACGGATATGGTCATAAATAAATTTGTGATGATGACAATTCCAAACTAAATAAATATTTGAAATCGTTGTTCTTTTTGAATTGGGAGTCTTATAGAAGGATTCCTTGTCATGGAAACTGTGAATATTATTTAGAAAGAAGGTGGTGGTGATTCAGTCGTGTCGGTTTTATTTACGATATATTTTATTGGAGAACATTTAGGAAAGGCTTAAATAAGCATTAACGCATTTTTTTCTTCATTTAATTATCCAATCAGATGTAAGCCATACCCAATGACCGAATGATTGGGTGATTGGTGATACACAAAGCAGAGAATCAAGAGCTTACTATATAGTTGGTCAAGGAAAAGGAAGAAAAAAAACAGGAGTTTCAAATATGAAGCCGTTTTTCAATATTGTGAAGGCTATAATGGTCCGGCTGGTTTTGTTAGTACATAGTTTACTAGCTATCTGGAGAGTGGTCAACATTGCAAATGATATGAATTTTTGGTACTTAGCTATTGCGGACGGAGCGTTCCTTATAGAGGGATTGATTACAATAATAGCCAGGAAAGGAATGGAATATAAATGGTAAGAATATACCATTTCATATTTATACTTTTGCCAGAATTTTACAGAAAACGTGACTGGACTCATTTTCTCACTTTCTGATGTTCTAGAACAGCTTTCTTTCTTTCTTTCTTTCTTTCTTTCTTTCTCTCTTTCTTTCCCGTTATTGTTTCAAACAAACGATCAGACGCATTGTGTTCACAAATCTTTGAAAACAACATTGAAAATGATTTATTGCTTTTGATTGCAGGTTCTGTCCTTGCTTTTTCTTCTACCTGTGTAGCACTATTCCTGCAATATGGTTATTAGAATTAGACAGGCGTGATCGGTTTGTAAAAGAAGAAAATGCAACTCATACGACTAACAACAATTCCACTAACACTGTCGGATTACCGAATTTCTATGGGGTATGTAAGATGCTTTTCAATGTCCCCTTTATTTTCTTGTCTTTTCATTTATTCATAAGATTTCTTGATTTATGATACAAAATGCTGTTGTCCTTTATCTGGCGAAATGCAACATATTATAATTAAACGTATATTGTGTGCAAGTTGTAATTTTGTATACAGATTATATTTTATACTGAAGTTTTGTACATATTACCAGGATTTTACGAACCTTGTATTAATTTGACAAAACAAGCACACCGTCTATGATTTTGCATATCAATGTCATATTTCATGGCTACTTGCAACTGATTTATACATAATACAAATACAAAAGACAATACAAGATATTTTTGGGACAGAGAATCTGGTAGGCGAAAAAATATAAACGGAATCTAACCCATTCATGTGTCCTCATTTGCAGCTTCATGCCAAAGAGGACATGGTTTCATGCTAGGTTGAATCATGGAATAAAGTACTATTTTGACAATATAGTTTTCTTATGGTTGAAGTATATAATTTTGTGAGTAAAACATCATGCCTGGTAATTATTGACGATACACGTGATCAATTAATTGTACAAAAAGTCTGTATAAGTGACAATTTGTACAAGGTTGCCTGTACAAAAAGTCTGCACAGGTGATGATTTGTACAAAATTAACTTGTACAAAAAGTCTGTACAAGTGATGATTTGTACAAAATTACAACTTGTAATAGGAATCTCTTCTCTTACGTTCATTTTGCAATATCATTCAGCTAAAATTAGAGTTGAGTAAGTAAGCTTCAAAGTACCTAAATATTAATGACTGTCGTAACTTGGGTCGATGCCTCTGCTGGTGGACTGATAGTCCCCGAGGGTATCACCAGCCCAGTAGCCAGTACTTCGGTACTGGCATGAAAATACGGATCTTGTGTTATTGAAATTTCCTGTTACAAAATGTTTGAAATTATTTAAAATTAAGGAATGTATCTCCCTAATGCAAAACTCTGATTCCCTGTCTGGCTTTGGCTATACTTTTTTGTCCTTTTTGGCTTATAGCTCTTCATTTTTTTTAATAAGCTTTGGATTTTCAAATATTTTGACTTTGAGCATCACTGAAGAGACATTGATTGTCGAAATGCGCATCTGGTGCAGAAAAATTGGTACCGTTTATGTTATTCTATTTCAAATTAATCAAAAATACTGAAGTATTAGTTGTAAATACTTCAAAGGACGACAAAAATCAGAGGAAACATACTTCCCATATTATTATTTGTTTTACCTCCTGTACATTTATTATACTTGTTGTTCCTTATTTATATTTTCGTATTTCATTATAGTTAATATTCATGTAAGTACATGACATCCTTGTATGTCAGATACGGTTCTTTTTAATTAAGTGTAAAGGTTATTATTTATGGTAAGCGAAATTACTCAGTTGAGGATAACTTATCAATTATTAAAATCATGATAAAAAAAACCTTAAAGAAGCAATTACAGACATAATTATATTTCATCGGGCTGTAGTATCGGCGATCAATTTATGAATTTTGGTTATCCTTGAAATAGAAAGAAGTGGGTGGATCTTTGTTTATACTAATTTTGTCTGTTTTGTCTGTTTGTTTAGTTTATTTTGTGAGAACAAAGTGAGAATTTTGCGATTACAACCGATTTTTATTAGTTTCTATAATTCAACTTTAAATGCAAAAGGCAAATTCTGACTGTATTAAAGATATTCTACTTATATAACGTTGAGTGAGAACAGCTAATGATGACTGTATTAAAGATGTGCTACTTATATAACCGACCGTATGAAACCCTCAAGGGTAGTCAAGTAGTTAAACACCTTCTAGTAGTAGTACTTATATAACGTTGAGTGAGAACAGCAAATGCTGACTGTATTCATTGTGTGTTAATTTACGTTTTTTGATTGAGTTAAGCCTTCCAATTGATATTTTATAGTGTGTCTTTCTATGTTGTGATGTTATACTATTGTTTCAGAAAAGGGAGAAGGTTTGGTACCATTAAAACGCTCTAAGTCAGGAATCTGATGTACAGTAGTTGTCGTCTGTTTATGTAGTTCATAAGTGTTTCTCGTTTCTCGTTTTTATATAGATTAGATCGTTGGTTTTCCCGTTTGAATGGTTTTACACTAGTAATTTTTGGGGCCCTTTATAGCTTACTGTTCGGTGTGAGCCAATGCTCCGTGTTGAAGACCGTACCTTGACCTATAATGGTTTACTTTTATAAATTGTTACTTGGATGGAGAGTTGTCTCATTGGCACTCATACCACATCTTCCTATATCTATGTATAAAAGATATTCTACTTATATAATTAACCGACCGTGCGAGACCCTCATGGTTAGTCAAGGTCGATAAACACCCTCTTACTAGTAGTAGTACTTATATAACGTTGAGTGATAACAGCAAATGCTGACTTTATTAAAGATGTTCTACTTATATAACCGACCGTGCGAGACCCTCGTGGGTAGTCAAGTCGTTAAACACCCTCTTACTAGTAGTAGTACTTTGTAACGTTGGGTGATAACAGCAAATGCTGACTTTATTAAAGATGTTCTACTTATATAACCGACCGTGCGAGACCCTCGTGGGTAGTCAAGTCGTTAAACACCCTCTAGTAGTAGTACTTATATAACGTTGAGTTAAAACCGTGCCAATATTTAGTTAGATACCGTTCTTAGTGCACATAACACATATTTTTGGAATAATCTGCAATATGCAGAAACGGCAATTGTGTTTCGTAAGCATTTTTATTTTAAATAGAAAAACAGTGGTCTATTTATTGAAGACACTATATCACAACACATTCTTGACAAACCCGAAAGTAAAGTAACAGTGCCGTTATTGCTGTACTTAATCTCAAAGTCGCGACAGCGAGGCCTTCAACACAGAGCATTAGATCAGGTTGTTGTAAATATTTGTATAGAATAGTTTGATTAACATTTGATTAACCGGGTTTGGTGTCACTGAAAAGGTAGCCTGGCTTCCTTGTTCAATATCTCCTTCGTCGATAGCTGATAGCGTTATCAATCAGTGAGCCAAACAGGAACCCAGGCTACCGATTGATTGATTTATTGATTAATTATTGGTTGCTTAACTCCAGTGGTCAATATTTCATGCATATTCAGGACGAGAACAAATTAACAATTTATACAATAGGTAGTCGTTAAACACGACTTCATTCCGGATGACCCATATAAAAGGGGTCATCCGGAATGAAGGTCGGGGAAATTTGGACTGCCACTGGAAAATGAGGGTACATTGGATAGAGACACACATTTTGCCTGGTAATATTTATAAATCCCGCTCAGCCAAAACGGAAGCACACGTTGGCAAGGGTTTTACTGCCGGTTGACAGAAGACCAAGAGTGACCATTTTTTCCCCAGTTCCCTATGGGATCCCTTGGGTTTACGATGATATTGCAGGCGCATAGAGCGTTACCGTCTCATCATGTGTCTCTATTTGCTTCGCATCACGGTGCGGAGCTATTAGTTTCAGTCGACATACACGCCATCTTGAAATATTTACTTATCACATATAGATTCTGATTTGTTGCTATTGGCTAAAATGATATAAAGAATAACAGACTTTTCTCGTCTCAGGATAAGACATCAAATGCTGGAAAATTAACTATGTGTATTTCAGTTCCGATCAAATGTCGTTAAATCATGTTCGTTTTATTATGCACATATTGAACACTGAAATTCAATATTGAAATATCTATTATTAATACGTGTTTCAGATTTGCTTTGTTAAACTGCAATATGCACGATTTGTTTTGCTAAACAATGTTCCTATACAATGTTTACACAAATGCATTATCTGTATTTAATAACTTCTGCCAATCTAGGCAATTCTCCTGAGAGGCACACCTCCAGATCTAGAGTCGTGTCTATTTGTAAATGTTTTAATTTGCAACAAGTAAAGTGAACAAAATTTTAAAAGCATGGGTGTATAACGCACACTCTTTATAAGTAAACCCATTTTATATCAAGCAATATCTAAAAATACCACATTTCCAATACTAAACCAACAACCACATACACACATATAACTTTAATTTGGGATAGAGCGAAGCAGTCCACAGCTTTTTAGAAAGCTCAAACTTGTTAAACACATGTATTGTCTTCTTGCTTCTCTTAATAGTTGGACCTCATCCATTTCCTTTATGAACTTTCGACCCTTTCAATTGATAAACCATAAACAACAGATTTTGTTACATATTCCCTGGCTACATTAGGTTCACCTTTAATTCTAGAATGAACACCACTGAGGATTTTCGATTTTTTGACATTCTGTAATCTGATGGAAACAAATTAATTTGGCTTGTAAGCAATGAAGACACATATATACCATATATATAATTCATAAGCTTTTAAACCAATTGTCCCAAGAAAGAGATGCACTTATAAATAATTGAATTTAGAGCTGCTCCCCTTATTAAAAGATTTTTTGTGTCCCAAATGGAATCCATATTGCAGTTATTTATATTTTTTTCGCAGTATATTATATGCAGTTCTTTTCTTAAATAAATGTACATATGTTGAATGTTTTAATTTACTTAATCATTGGAATCATGTTTAGTATTGTATTTTTTGTCTTGACTTGTAGTAATAATTAAACTGTAATTATTCTGCTCTCATGAGGGCACTTGTATTTGTCAATAAAATTAGAGTATTGTATTGCATCATTATCCCGCATAAACTCAATGGGCTGAAACCGCAAAGGTGGTGCTTTTATCTGCATCAATATTATGTCAAACACCAATGGTTTTGTTAGGCACTTCTTGTGAAAATGAGAAATGATAGCAAAGGTTGAAATTATTCTTTCTGTTTAATATGAGATTGTCAAATAAAAACTCCTAAATAAGTGTGAAATTTTCACCTAAAATTTTGCTCTAAAGCCCTGAGTCCTATTATCCTTCTAGAATATCAGGTATGTCATGATTTTCTCGAATTAAACATGATTAAGTGGCAACTAGTGTATTCACTTCTGCACTAGAACTCCAGAAAAATGGT